GTAATGTAGTGCCATTTCACATATTTAATGGTGCAGAAGTCACCATTTTGATACTGGGTACTCTGTGAGCATAGCTCAAGCAAGTATCTTCCTGCCTCAGCCTCCAGAACAGCTGGGGCTATAGGCATGCTACCATTTCTCTGGCTCTTCAATTTGGTTGGTTTTTTTTTTGTTGTTGTTGGTTGTTTTTTGTTGTTGTTGTTTTGTTTTTTGTTTTTTTTTAATTTGTTTGTTTTGGTCTTTTTGAGACAGGGTCTCCCCATAGCCCCAGCTGGCCTAGAGTTCACTATGTAGACCAGGCTGGTCTTGAAGTCACAGAGATCCACTTGCCTCTGTCTCCTGATTGCTGGGATTAAAGGCATGCACCACCACACCCCACCCTTCAGTTTGTTTTATAATCAACTTTTAGGTTCCACACGTAAATCCTTAGACAATGAATACAGTTGTTGTAAATATATAAATTTTCTTGAACTATGATTATGATATAAAGTGATCTCTTTGTTTATTTAAACTTTCAGGGGCTGGGGGAGATGGCTCTGTGGGTAAAGTGCTTGCTATGCAAGCATGAGGGACCTGAGTTTGGATCCCCAGCACTTAACATAAAAGCAAGCCCAACACTGAGGTGGGTGGAAACATGATTCCCAGGGGTTCCCTGGCCAGCTAGTCTAGCTGAAATTCAGTGAGAAATACTATCTCAAAAACTGAGGTAGAACATGATTGGAGAAGATACCTGAGACTAGCTCTTGGCCTCTACATGAGCATGCATGGTCCTGTACACGTACACTTTTAGACACACATGCACACGCACAAAGGTGGCTTTCAGTAACATTAATTTTCTACAAACAAGTTTTATAAACCTTTTAGAGGCATTTTAATTTTTGTTGCTGTTACAAATGTGTTCTTTTAAAATTCTTATGCTAATTATGTGTTGCTGCTGTTTATAAATGCAGATGACTTGTATCCTAATCATATTTCCAGCCACATTGCTTTTCTGGTTTTTCTATTAATCTATAGATTCTTTTGAGCTTTGTTTTCAATGTAGAAAATTATATGATGTACATATATGATTTTTCTTCTCTCTCAATTCTTATTTTCTTATTGTACTAGATAATCATGGTATTAGGTATCACATCTTACTCCTGGTTTTTAAGATAATGCCCCATTGCTGTGTTTAGGTGGGTTTTTAGGAGTTTTATGAATAGCTTATATCAGCTTAGGGATATTCCTTTCTGTCTTGGTACAGTAACAATTTCTATTGTGAATGGGGGTTGATTTTTGACCCGGCACATTTTCACCTTCTATTGAGTTACTATACTTGAGCTATTCATTGGTGCTGTGAAAATTCTAGATTAGTTAATTTTACATTCATTTTATTCCTTCAGTAAAACATGCTGGCCAAGTATCTGTCACTGAACTATTCTCTCAAAGCTGCAGAAAAGTTTTGTGAACACTTTTTAAATTAACTTGAATGACTTAGCCTATATCAATTTTTATGAAGAACACTTGTTTTTATTGTAAAAATGGAAATAGCAGTGAGTTATATATGCTTGCTGTCTTTGCAATCAGACTCACCAGATGTTTATCAATTCTGTGCATCTTTTCCCTCCTGAAGAGGGAAAGTCTAAGTCTAGATCAGTAGACTTACTTCTTAAATGTATGTGTACTTTCTCATACTGTTTTTAGCTTATGTTGTGGTACTTTATAAACTTTATGAAATGAATAGTTAACATTAATTTTTAACTTTATTTTCTAAAATAAATCTTTAAGGACACACAAAAGTGGAAATATAATTGCTACATAGTTATTTAAAAATTCTTACTAACGATTTGCCATGTTCCAACCCCTTTCTATGTGTACATAAATTTATTTCCCATATTCTGTAGCCTGTGCTTGGGAACCAGCAATATCTTTCATGTAGTCTTTTTTTTTTTAATGGTTCTTCATTATCCTTTTTTATGATGACATAAATATTTCATTGTATGGCTATATCATAATTTAATAACCTCTTTTTTTTTGGTCTTTTTGAGACAGGGTCTCCCTATAGCCCCATCTGGCCTTGCACTATGTAAACCAGGCTGGCCTTGAATTCACAGAGCTCCGCCTGCCTCAGCCTCCCGAGTGCTAGGATTAAAGGCATGCACCACCACACCCAGCTAATAACCTGTTTTGTTTTGTTTTGTTTTTGTCTGAACATTTGTCAGTTACAGTTTTATGGTGAAGAAATATATATTTGTATATTTGTTTTTCTACAAGACATTTTTTTTAATGTAAAACTGCTGAGTCAAAGATTTATTAATATGGGGGCTGGAGGGACGGTTCAGCAGTTAAGAACATTGACTGTTCTTACAGAGGACCTGCACCCACATAGCAGCTAACAACTGTTTATAACTCCAGTTCCAGGGAGTCTGACACTGTCTCTGACCTCCGAGGACATTGCAGAACATGGGTGCACTCACATGCAGGCAATAACACACTCATATACATAAAATTAAAAAATAAAAAAGATTTATACATATTTAAAATTTTAAAGTATATTTAATTTTTCTCAAAAAAAGTATTATACTGGAACTCTGATACACTGCTGGTAAAAGTATAAATCTATGCACCCACTTTCCAAAACTGGGAATATCTATTAAAGCTGAACATACTCTGGTCTAGCAGTGTACTCTTTTTAGAGATATGTCCAACTAAACAGCTGCATTTGTTTCCCAAATGATACACTACATGTTAATGGTAGCCCAATTTCAGTAGTCAGAAACTGTAAACAACACAATGTCCACAATATTAGGGATAAAATAAATCATATTTACACAGCTAATACTTTATAGTGAGGATAATGAATGAACTTTAGCCAATACAGTGTCATAGATGAATATTACAATGTTGAACAAAAGAATCTGGACAGGTGCTGGGGAGGTGGCCCAGTAGGTAAAGCACTTGCACAATCATGAGAACCTGAGTTCAAATCCCCAGAACCCATGCAAAGCCAGGGGCAGTAATGTGTGTCTATAACCCCAGCGATTCTTCCATGAGATGGGAGACAGAGGCTGGAAAATTCCTAGAAGCCCCCAGGCCAGCTAGCCTGGCATATACAGCAGTGAACAATAAAAGAAAGCCTGTCTCAAACAAGGTGGAACACCTGAGGTTGTCCTCTCTCCTCTACGTGCATATATACCCCACACATGCCCACACTCACATATGAGCAGGCACTGTGCACACATAGTGGATACACACATGCACAAAAAGAACTGGACAAATGAATACCTATTGTGTGATTCCATTGAATTAAAGTTGACAAACAAAATTGGGTATTAGAAACCAGGGAAAGTTTTTTTTTTAATGGAAAGAAATGCTAGGAATGGGGTACTTAGGAGACTTCTGAAGTTCTGATGGTGCTGTTTTTCAGTACTGTAGCTGGTGACGTGAGCCTGTTTCATTTGTGAGACTTTTTGATCTTGTGCCTTCCTATGTATGTATTGTACTGACTGGAAAGCTTGTAACAAAATAGTGCAATTTATATGTAAAACCATTTTTAAACTCTACCAATGTTGCCTACTTTTCTAAACTCTGGCCACACTGATAGACATAAAAATGTGATAAATATTTAAAAAAGAACAGTTTGCTTATTGGTGAGCCTATCTCTTTGTGTCTTTAGTCACTGTTATGTCATTTGTTTTTCTTATTGATTTGTATACTTTTAAAATCTTTTGGACTTTCTAGTGTATGACAGTATGATTTAAGTAGCAAATTCAAGCTACAGAAATAAGGTAATATTGCGTGCTAGGCGAAGTTTCCCTTAATAAGAAAATCAGTCCTAAAAGAGTTTTGTTCTTGAATATTTTATTTATTTATATTTATTTATTTATTTATTTATTTATTTTTGGTCTTTTTGAGGCAGAGTCTCTCCATAGCCCCAGCTGTCCTGCTGTCCTGGAACTCACTATATGTAGACTAGGCTGGCCTTGAACTCACAGACTGCCTCTGCCTCCCGAGTGCTGGGATTAAAGGCGTGTGCCACTATTTTTATTTTTTTTATGTGTATGAGTGTATTGCCTACATGTATGTAAGTGTACCCATATCATGCAGTGTCCAAAGAGTCAGAAGAGGGTGTTGAATTCCCTTGGAAATGGAGTTACAGACGGTTGTTAGCCACCATGTGAGTTCTGGGAATTGAACCCAGGTCCTCTGCAAGAGCAGCCAGTGCTCTTGCTCTTAACTGCTGAGCTATCTCTCCAGTCCCAGAACATCTTTAAAGTATGTCAGAGCACTAGCTTATCACTGTTTTCTTTTGGGGTGGAGGAGGGGGGATAGGATTTCACTGTGTAGCCCTGGCTGTCCTGTGCCCCTGCCCTTGCCCCTGACTCCCAAGTGATGGGATTAGAGTGTGCACCAACACTCGCAGTTTACCATTAATTTATGATACTCTTAGTTTCTTTTGATATCTCTTTTAAATCATTACTTTCCTAATATGATGAGAAGCATTTTAAAAAAATTGAATAAGATTTTTTTTTTTTTTTTGAAGCAGTGTCTCTGGTATCCCTGGCTTCTTTCAAATTCACCTTGTAGTCAAGGCTGGCTCTGGATCCCTGATCCTCCTGCCTTCACCTCCCAAGGACTGCAATTGCAGGCCTGAACCACCATGCAGTGCTGAATAGGATGCTTTATTTGCAGTAAAATTGCACATGAATTTTGTCTGTTTTATGATTTTATAAAAATAGCCCTTTAGAAACTAGTGTGTCGCATGCTATTTCCTTTACTTTTCAAACAGTTTCAAATTTCTAAGTGATCTCTTAACTAAAATATTTTGTTGTAGTAACTCAACTACTCTGATGAAGTCTCACTATTGCATCTGCCTTTTTATGTTTTTGTTTGGGGATGCTTTACTGAAATAATATGTCTAAGATATATTATAGACCTACTGTATTTTGAAGTTTCTCATTGCCATTCAGAAGTAGCCTTTAAATGTTCTTTTTTTTTTTTTTTTAATATGTAATGCATAGGCGCTCTGCTGTCGCCCGCATTCAGGAGTTCTTCAGGAGGAGAAAAGAAAGGAAAGAGATGGAAGAATTGGATACTTTGAGCATTAGAAGGCCACTAGTAAAGATGGTTTATAAGGGCCATCGCAACTCCAGGACAATGGTATCAATGCTCTTGGCATTCTTTGCTCAAATTGCAGTTTCATGTTTTTTCCATAATTTTAATATAATATTATTAAATCTCACCGTTATTTCTTTACTCAAGCATGGCTCTTTTAGTCTTATATTGCAGAAGACTATTGTTTTTTTTACAAGAAAACTCTACCCTATTAAAGAAGTATGTGTAAATTAGAAAAATTATTTTGGCTTTTAACTAAAAAAGCTATTGCTTTTTCCCCTTTTTCTATGCTGGCTGTCCTCCTGAAAAGTTGCTATTAAATTTGTTTAGCTTGTTTTACCATATTTTGTTAGTTTGAGGGAAGAAAAAAGATCTGGCTATGAAATCTAGGTTGATTATAAATTACAGATATACTAATTATAACACTTTTAAGATTAACATAGTTTTTGATCATTTTGTCTCTCTATTTTAATTTCCTCATCTATGAAATGGGAATGATAGACCAAATGAGGAGCTCTAAGATCTATATAATGTTTAAAATCTGGGCTGGAGAGATGACTCAGCAGTTAAGAGCCCTGGCTACTCTTGGGGAGGACCCAGATTCAGTTCCCAGCACCCCAATGGTGGCTGTTTCCAGGGGATCTGACACCCTCTTCTGATCTCTGTGGCATGGTTTCACTTACGTACATGCAGGCAAACTATGCACATAAAATAAAAATAAATTCATTTTTAAAATAAAAAAAATTAGGGGCTGGAGAGATGGCTCAGTGGTTAAGAGCACTGACTGCTCTTACAGAGGACCCAGGTTCGATTCCCAGCACCCACATGGTGGCTACGAACCCTCCTTAACTCCAGTTCCAGGGGAATCCGAAGCCCTCTTCTGACTTCCACAGCATTGTGCGACACGGGTGCACTCACATACATGCAGACAATATACTCATACACATAAAGTAAAAATAATAAAATATTTTTTTAAGTCGGGCGTGGTGGTGCACACCTTTAATTCCAGCATTGGGAGGCAGAGGCAGGTGGATCTCTGAGTTCAAGGCCAGCCTGGTCTACATAATGAGTTCCAGGACAGCTGGGGCTACAGGGAGACCATGTCTCAAAAAGACCAAAAAATAATATATTTAAAAAAAAATAAAGTTTAAAAATTAAAAATACATAAATCTATACATCCAAAAGCAAGATGAGTAATATAACTATTTCTCTAAACAATTAATATGTAGAACATGTTCTACATGTGCCTAGTATTGCCACAAAGTGCTTTCCTTAGGGTCTAGGTAAAAAATTAACTGAAGTGAGGAAATAATTAGCTCTCTTCCTATATATGTCATTGGTAGTAATGATTTCATCATTCTAAAAAGGATGTTCATTGTTAATGAAAGTAACCAATGTGTATTTTATGCATTGTGCTGATTAAAATTTTAAATGACAGTATTTAGGGGAAGGTTGGAGATATAACTTAGTGGTAGATTGCCTGCCTAGCATGCATAAGACCCTGAGCTGAATCCTTAGTACCACCACCACCAAAAAAAAAAACTAGAATAAAGTAAAAATAGAGAAAGAGATGAAGGCAAAGCTAAGTAAGTGCAGTGGTAACAGCTAGCCACAGGACTGCCCTTCTGCTGAATGAACACTGAGAAGCCAAAGTTGCAGCTGCAGGTACAATGGCTTTTAAAATCCTCATCTGAAATACAAAGATTTTTTATGGTTCTTTCATGTATGCATATTAAAATATGATCATAACTAATAGTCTGTCATATTTCTTTTTCCACAGGCTTGATTAAAGTAAACATGTTTATATCTTTCCTTTTTAATTCTGTGAACTTTTAATAGCAAATGAAAAAATGCCCTCTCTTGGTAAACTACAAAAGACAATTCATTGTCTTTAAAGCTAAAATGAAATAGTTTCTAGAAAGTTCTTATATATATGCATATATGTATATATATTTCCATTATACTGTCCTAAATGCAAATATCCTATTTAGTCATTTAGTATTTATGAAGTGCCTGTTGTATGCGAAATACTGTTACAGGTGCTATAACTATGCAGCACTGAATGGAAGCAAAATCTCTATTTTTGTGGGAGACTTTTCATGTTTTACTGCCATATCATCCATGCCGGTGAACTTATGTCATAATTTTAAGATTCTAGAAATCAAAAAGTTCACTGTTATTTTTCATATTTTCAAAGTCAATTCATTTTTAGCATAAGAATTGAATCTTTCTTTGGATAACTTGAATGTTTTTGTATCCCTTAGATAAAAGAAGCCAATTTTTGGGGTGCTAATTTTGTAATGAGTGGTTCTGACTGTGGCCATATCTTCATCTGGGATCGGCACACGGCTGAGCATTTGATGCTTTTGGAAGCTGATAATCATGTGGTCAACTGCCTGCAGCCTCATCCGTTTGACCCAAGTAAGATAGGTTTTATAGGACAAGCACTAGAAATTGTTTGCCCCATTCATTAGCTCTAGTTAACATTTTAAGAATCTGAATTAGCACTGTTAGAGACAGTTATAGCTCTACTTTTTAAAACAATGAATTTGCTTTTATGAACGGCAAGGGGCTCACAAAACCCTACCCCTAGCTGAGGAACTATTGGCAGTTGATGGTACTGGAGGAGAGTCAGTTTTCCTGGGATGTGGCCCTGGGTAGGTTGTCTGTGCTGCACTGAATGGCCCACACCCATGCATGTACTGGTGGCACTAGTTGGACTATATGGGTTAAAAAAAGAGTGCATGCTGGATGTGGTGGCTTATGCCTTTAATCCCAGCACTTGGGAGGCAGAGGCAGGTGGATCTCTGTGAGTTCGAGGCCAGCCTTGTCTACATAGCAGGTTCTGGGTCAGCTGGGGCTATAAGGAGACCCTGTCTTAAAAAACAAAGTGCATGAGGTTGGAAGGGAGACATGTTTGGGGCAGTGGTTTGGGAGGATTGGTGGGGAGGGAGTTAAGGAGTGGATTTGATCAAAACACATTGTATACATGCATGAAATTCTCTAAGAATAAATAAAAATATATTTTTTAAAGTTCCCAGCATCAAAAAGAAAAAAATCTATTTTTGACAGAAAGTCTAAAGAAACAGGTTTATTCTAGTATTTCAGTTTGATCAGCTAGTAGAGGTCTGGTACGACTGAACTCTACACCTTTTTAAGGTTTCACATGTATAATAGAGCATTGGCTTGCTCTTACTTTCACTAGGATAAAAGCATTGGCTTGCTCTTACTTTTCTGTTCAAAACTGATAGAAATTTGAGTGATTTTTAAGATGGCCTTAAATTTTTGTTCCACCAGTTACTTTTAGGTAATATTCAAAATGATTTGTGTGTGTGTGTGTGTGTGTGTCTTTTTGAGGCAGGGTCTCCCTATAGCCCCAGCTGTCCTGGAACTTACTATGTAGACCAGGCTGGCCTCAAACTCACAAAGATCCACCTACCTTTGCCTCCCAGTTGCTGGGATTAGAGGTGTGCACCACCACGCCCAGCCTCAAAGTGATATTTTAATTAACAGTTAAATATATAGTACAAGGACTGGAGAGATGGCTCAGCTGTTAAAAATGTGTATTGCTCTTGCAGAGGACCTGAGTTTGGTTCCTAACCCTCACATTAAGCAACTCACAACTTCTTGTAACTCCAGTTCCAGGGGATCTAACACCCTCTGGTGTCTGCAGGCACCTATACTCATGTGCACATACCCACACATAAATAAATACATGTACATAATTTAAAATAAATCTCTAAAAAATACAGCTTTCATTCAAGCTAAATTTGGTTATATTTGTATCAGTGTTTAACTTACGATCTTAAATTAATGGGATGATGCTAAGATATAATTTATGCTAAGATGTGAATTTTATCTCTAGTTTTAGCCTCATCTGGCATAGATTATGACATAAAGATCTGGTCACCACTAGAAGAATCGAAGATTTTTAACCGAAAACTTGCTGATGAAGTAAGATTTTTATTGTACTTAATACTTAATTTGTATCTAAAATGCTGTCCTAAGAAAAGCAGTTCATTATTAGTTGCTAACAAAACAAATTAATGTAGTTAAGGATTAAATCTTTAATCCCAGCACTGGAGAGGCAGATCTCTGTGAGTTTGAGGCAAACCTGGTCTACATAGTAAATTTTAAGGCCAGCCAGGGCTACATAGTGACATTCTGTCTGAAAACAAAAACCAATAGGAGGTCAGATCTTTTAAAAAAGAAGATGAGCCTGGCAGGGTGGCGCACGCCTTTAATCCCAGCACTTGGGAGACAGGCAAGTGGATCTCTGTGAGTTCAAGGCCAGCCTGGTCTACATAGGAGTTCCAGGCCAGCTGGGGCTACAGGAATACCCTGTCTCAAAAAGACAAGAGAGAGGGAGAGAGGGAGGGAGGGAGTGAGGGAGGGAGGGAAGGAGGGAGGGAGAGAGAGAAAAAAAAAGACAAAAGCATACTTATAATACTAGAGGTAGAAATCAAAATAGTATCTTGCTAATAACAGATTAGGTGTGTTTTAAAGAACTTATTATTCAACTAATAAGTTGTGCTTATTTTAACAAAAATCATTGAAAAATTAAAATTGTTTTAGCTGAGAAAACGTGATTATGCCACCTGTAATCCCACCACTCAGGAGACTGAAGCAAGGGGAGTTCTGGTCAGATTGAGCCACATATCAAGACCCTGTCTCAATGAATAAAACAAAATAAACAATCAAAGAAAGAAAATAATTTTGCTGTATGCCATCCTCCATAATTGTAGCCATTTTTTTGAGTTTTCACAGACAGATTATTAGAGATTTCCTTTATTTTTAGGTTTTAAGGTTTCCTTAGCCTCTTGGTTTTTTATATTTTATTAACTTTTTTAGCTGGTATTTAATAGGCTACAATATGTGTCATTCATGTATGTATGTATGTATGTATGTATGTATATGTTTTGCTTGTTTTTGAGACAGGGTAGGGTCTCACTATGTTCCTAGCTGGCCTGGAACTTGCTACATGGACTAGACTGGCCTCAAATTCACAAAGATTGCCTACCTCTAATTCCTGAATGTTGGCGAGTGTTGGGATTAAAGGCGAGTGCCACCACATCCAGTGCGTGTGCTCTCTCTCTCTCTCTCTCTCTCTCTCTCTCTCTCTCTCTCTCGTGTGTGTGTATTTGTGTGTGTTTCATATATTTTATCATTCAACCTTGCTCATACTCACCCTCTTCTTCCTTTTTGTTCCCTCCCTCTCATCTCACTGGTCCTCTTCTTCCTCCCAAATACTTCCTTTTCTACTTTCATAGAGTATGTATGTATGTATGTGTGTGTATGTATGTATGTATGTATGTATCATTAAATCTAGATTTCACATATGAGACACAACATTAGCTATATTGTCTTTCTGCCCCTCCTATTACCCTCTTCTCTTCCTCTCCCTTTTCTCTTAAGAGTCCTTCCTTTCCACTCCTACTCTCCTGTGTTTTCATGTCATATGATACATTCTGCATATGAGGGGGGGAAATGTGCTATATTTGTCTCTCTGAGTCTGGCTTCTTTTTTTTATTTTTTTATTTTTTTGAGCCTGAGTTGAAACAGTAATCTCCAATGCAACCCATTATCCTTCAAATAACATTTAAATTTTTTTATTTATTTTTATTTTATGTGTATGAGTGTTATGCCTGCAGGTGTGTAAGTGCACCCATGGTATGCAAGGCCCGAGGAGGACAGAAGAGTGCATCGGATCCCCCAGAACTGGAGTTATGGATGGTTGTTAACCACCATGTGGGTGCTGGGATTCAAACCCAGGTCTTCTGCAAGAACAGCCAGTGCTCTTAACTCCTGAGCCATCTCTCCAGCCCCTAAATTACATATTTTTATTCTGAATGAAACTTCTGTGTGTGTATGTGCCACATTTTCTTTATCTGGTCATCTATTGTGGATATCTAGGCTGGTTCCATATCTTGTCTGTTATGAGTAGTGCACCACTAAGCATGTATTTGTAAGTATCTCTATGGTATGGTGGCTCAGATCCTTTGGCTATAACTTAGGAATGGCATAGCTAGATTATATGGTATTCTAGTTTTAGTTTTTTTTTAAATATTTTATTTATTTTATGTGTACGAGTAGTGGTGGTCTCTGATCTTCCTTTGTTAATGGATCTTCCTTTTATATTGAGTAGCCTTAAGACAGAAATACAGACATACATAAAATGAATGAAGTGATTCCTCCTAGGACTTGCTAATTTTTTATGTTTTTTCTTTTTTTTTTTTAATTTTTAAGGCAAAGAAAGATACTGTTACTATACTTTAACGTGGTTGTTTAACTTGCTGTAGGTTATAACTCGTAATGAACTCATGCTGGAAGAGACTAGAAACACCATTACTGTTCCAGCCTCTTTCATGTTGAGGATGTTGGCATCACTGAATCATATCCGAGCTGGTAAGAACTTCCAGTGTACCATTAAAATCATTGTTATATTTGAAATCATTAAGTCCTACTTTATAGGAGTTCATAAAATCTCCTTAATATTCAACAACGAAAGCAACAACTTCAGAACTAGGACTTCTGTGAGCACTTGACCTTATAGCACAGTGAATTATTATCTTCTGAACTATTTATTGAAAAATGGTAAAATAAGCCTGGTGTGGCGGTGCATGCCTTTAGTCCCAGTACTGGGAAAGCAGAGGCGAGTGGATCTGAGTTCAAGGCCAGCCTGGTCTATATAACAAGTTCTAGGCCAGCTGGAGCTACAGGGAGACCCTGTCTCAAAAAACAAAAAAAAACAAAAAATGGTAAAATGGGAGCTGGAGAGATGGTTCAGCAGTTAAGAGCACTGGCTGTTCTTGTAGAAGACCTGGGTTCGAATTCCAGCACCCACATGGTGACTAACAGTCATTCATAACTCCAGTTTCAAGGGCTCCAATGTCCTCATCTGTCCTCCGTGGGTACTGCATACCACAGGTGCACTTCTACACATGCAGGCATAACAGTCATATACATAAAATAAAAATACATTTTTTAAAATAGTAAATGAAAACACAATCACTTGAAAACTTTATTAGGAGCTCTTCTCATACTACAGGACTGTACCATAAAGCTTAAGATATGCTATACTACTGAGCATGATGGTGTGCTCCAGTAATCTCAGTATTTGGGAGGAGGATGTTGGTATCACTGAATATCTGAGCTGGAAAGAACTTACAGTGTCCAAAGTCACCCTAGGTTACAGAGTGAGTTCAAGGCCAGCCATGAGATACATGAGATCCTGCCTCAGCTAATAAAAAACAAGCACCAACAACACAAACTTATCCTAAAACAAATGCAACATGGTAAGGAATAAAGCAATTTATATTAGTGTGTGTGTTTTTTTTCAGTATTTTTTAAATTGATAAACCGAGGATCAATGACACAGATCCAGAAAGTACATATGTTACAACTAATAGTCAAGAGGAAAATGAATAATCTTATCTTCATAACAATAGAAAAGGTCCTGTATCCATTATAAACAACATGTTTATCCAGTGTTTATCACTTTTCACTGAGTTCATAAATGTCTTCATATGTTGGGTATTATGTATCACTTAGCTACCATTTCTAGAGTACCTGTACTGTATCAAATACTATACTAATAATTTCATAGATATAGCCTCATTTTGCTCTAACTCTTTAAAGGAGGTTTTATTTTTAATAACTTACCCAGGCCACCCACCTGTCAAAGCCTGAATTTGAAACTGCCTTCCAAGCCCTTTCTGCCTGTTGACTTATAAATTTCACATTGAGCCATATACTCAGGTCCTTACTCTGACCTCAGGCCACTCGGTGATCTGTTCCTTTCACTACCTTACTGAACTGTTTCCTTTGTAACCCAGCTATGCTAATGCTCCTTCAATTTGGGGATATACCAAATTCTTTACCACCTCTGGGTTTTATGATGATGCCCTTGGCTTCCATTCTTACTTTTTGTTAAGATAGAATCTACTTATCATAACTCAAACTTACATAAACAGCAGATTAAATATCCCTTTCTCATAGAAAGTAGGGGATGGGCAAGCAGATATTCTAGGCAAAGTAAACAGTGCATGATCTTTTCTTTCTTTCTTTCTTTCTTTCTTTCTTTCTTTCTTTCTTTCTTTCTTTCTTTCTTTCTTTTTTGTTTTTTTGTTTTTGTTTTTGTTTTTTTGAGACAGGGTCTCCTTGTAGCCCCAGACCCCTGGAACTTCCTCTGTAGACCAAGCTGGCCTCAAACTCAGAGATACACACTTGCCGCTGCCTCCTGAGTGCTGGGATTAAAGGCATGTGTCACTATGCCCGGCTCATGGTTTGTTTGTTTGTTTGTTTGTTTGTTTTTCTCAAACCATAGAGACAATGTGTAGCAAATTTCAAAAACTGAAAGAATCTTTATATATAATTAAAAGAAGGAGAATAGTCCCAAATTTTAAATATTATCAGAAAAAAGGGGAAATTTTCAAATAAGCAAAGCAAAACAACAACAAAAAAAATCCCTTAAAGTATAAACAAAAAATGTTAGTAGTCTAACAGTGTTTTGCACTACTTCTTTCAGCTCTAAGGGGCTTTAGAAGGGTAGCAATGGTATATATGGAACATTCTAGACTCACAGTGTCTTAGAATATGAGTAAGTTCCTTCCCAGCCTAAAATTTCTGTGTGCCTCTTCATGTTCTTAGGATAGAGTCCAAATTATCCCTTAAGGGGCTGGAGAGATGGCTCAGCGCTTAAGAACACTGGTTACTCTTGCAGAGGACCCGGGTTTGATGTCCAGCACCCACATGACCCTTAACAACTGTCCATAACTCCAGTTCCAGGGGATCCAGTGCCCTTTTCTGACCACCACGGGCATTGCACAACCCAGGTGTACTTACGTACCTGCAGGCAATACATTCATACACATGAAATAAAAATAATTAAAAAAAATTTTTTTTTTAATTATCCCTTAACATTCTTCCCTTCAGACGTTTGGGCCTTAGCATGTAGGATGCTCAGCCCTGGTTTCTCTCTGATGGGTTTGCAAAGCCTGTCATCAAACTGAACTTAGTCACTTAACCACTAATGAGCACACTCAATCAGCAAATGGTTTTAGCTTTCCTTCCTAGTACACCCCATAGCCATTTACCTTAGCTCTCCTTAGGTTAGATCACCTCCTTGTAAAGTTATCATGGGTTTCCCACTGCTTTTCGAACCCAGATTCTAACTGTATCTACATGGTCCTATGTGCTTAAACTCTGCCAGCCTCTAACTTCCACTCCTTCTAGCTTTCGTCCAGTGCACTACATTTGGGGAATAATGGTCTCGCTTTTCTTCCTCAGTGAAACTTCTTAGCACAGTTCGGACCTTTTCACTTCCTTTTGCCTCTCCCTTTTCAGGGTTGAATGACTACCCCCCAGAACTTCATGTATGTGTGGGGTCTTAGCTCCATCCAGTGTTACCACTTTCCTAAAAATCGTTTCTGGCCATACAATCTGAATTTGCTTTCTGTGACTTTATCTTCCCTCTTCCCTGGTCACTCTTTTCATTGCTTTACTGTCCTCAAGTACTTAGTCTAGTGTTTCATTTATTTGTTGCCTTATTATAGATTAAATGAGAAAAATACATTTGTTCGCTTGTTTATATTTTTCTTCCAAAAAATAAGCTTGTAAGAGCAGAAGCCTGGGTTTTCATTTGTTTTTTTAGTGCTGGGGACTGAACCCTACACCTTGCATATGCTAGGTAAATGCTTTACCACTGAGCTCCAACCCTCAATTTGTCTTATTTGCAACTGGTTCATTAGCGCCTAAAACAATGCCTAAACATAAAGATTCTCAGTGGATGTTTGCTGAATAAATGAGTAATTGAATAAACTTCTAGTATCAGTTCTTTGGCTAATTATGTTTTATTTTTATTGTTTTTCTTAAGGATAACCTGGAAAATAAAACATGTTTATAGAACAAGTTTTCTTGGGGGAAAGTTTTTCATGATCTCCATAGCTCCCATTTTCTCCAGCAAACTAACAGTCTCTCCCCCCCACCCCCAGAATAATGAATAGCGAAACTTTCAGAAGTATAAACCTTATTTATAGGATCAGTTTGACCTCGTTTACTTTTGAAACTAGTAGATAGAGAAGGAATTCTTATTTAAAATAACTGTTCTTCAGACTTCTTTGGACTGTAGTGGCCAACTAAAGATAGTAAAAGCATTGAGCTTCTTTGTGTTTTACTACTTAAATAGCACTTCCTGAACAAATTTCATTTAATTCTTCGATATTCAGTTTACATTTTGAGGTCACTCTTTGACAGCCAAAGGAGCTGGATTTGAGGAGAAAATAACCACATTCTGCTCACCCCAGCAGCCACCGTCAGCTCTTCTGGAAGCTGATGAGAGACTCTTGCCCTCTTGTCTCCTTGGGGCACAGCTGGGCCTGCAGAATTCTAAGCTCTTCTGCATTCCCTTGGCATAGGGGCTGTGGTGCTGCTGCTTCGTTTCCCCGTCTTCATTTGGTAGCATGGCAAGCAAAAGAAACTTGATTAAGTAGCTCACAGACTATGAAATAGGCTGTTTCCACGTTCTCCTGCTTTACTAACAAGACAGAATTGTTTCATTTTGTTTTAAAGGTAGGGTTTTACTGTGTAGCCTAGGCTGGCTCAAACTCGTAATCCTCCTGTGTTGGCCTTCAGAGTACTAGGATTACAGGCATATGCCACCACACTCAGATCTACTTAAATAAAATAGCAACTTAATGTTTATTCTTTCATGAACATATATCACACAATAAAAATAATGTTATTTCATAGACCGGTGGTGTAGCTGAGCAGTAGAGCACTTGCCTAATATGCTAGAAACCCAGGATTCAAGCCCTGGCACCACCAAAAAAAAATTATTTTTTTGAGACAGAATGTCAGCTACCCCAGGCTGGCCTTAAACTTACTATGTAGCTGAGGATGACCTTGAACTCTTCCTGTATCTTTGCCTCCCCAGTGCTGGAATTACAGGCCTATGTCACCATGCTCACTTTATGTGGTGCTGGAGATCCAAACCCAGGGCCTCACGCATGCTGGAGTAGATATTCTCCCAACTAAGCTATACCCTACACCTGTTTTTCTTTTTAATACTAACATTTTTTGTAACTATTTTATTGGTCAAAAATTCTTCTTTTGAGGCTGGAGAGATGGCTCAGCCCTTAAGAGCACTGGCTGTTCTCCAGGTTTAGTTCCTAGCACCTACATGTTGACTAACAACCTTTTCTGTAACTTCAGTTTCAAGGAATCTGACACCCTCTTCTGACCTCCATAGACATTTGCATGCATGGGTGCACTTACATGCACACAAAACAGTCATACAGAGAAAAAAAAATAAATCTCTGTGTATAGTCCTTAGTGATCTATGAAGGTCTATTCAAATCTTACTGTGTTCATTTACTTTACAAATATGTGACAAGAAGCTGGAGGGATGGCTCATTGATTACAGAGGACTTGAGTTCAATTTCCAGCACCCATGTAAGGAGGCTCACAGTCCCCTGTAACTCCAGCTCAAGGGGAATCCAGTGTTTCTGGCTTCTGCAAGCAGCTGCACTTGTGTACACAGACACACATACACATGATTTTAAAATAAAAGTATACAAATATGCAAATACTTATAGTAACAGCTAAATTTTATATGAGTTATAAATTACATGCATACACATTGGCTGACATTAGGATGTAGTCAGCATGGAGATTTAGCCTGAAGTCCCTTGGACAATTGAGCATACAGCTTCTTCTATATATTGCCCTTGGTGCTAGGTTCCAGAGAGAATATATAAACCTCTATAGATACTATAAAAACAAATCTGAGGGTGAATTTTCTTTGCTGTGGACTAATTCCCTTATGCCTGACCTTAATATTTCCCATATTACCTTAGGGAAATTGTTCTGTGGCATAATGTCATAGATGTCATCCTTGCTGTGGTAATGATTTTTATGCTGTTGCCTTCTTCATACACCATTATCTAATGTAGCTTATCTTCATAAAACTTACATTCATTTCTTTAGTGAACCTTACTCTGCAGTGGAACTCAGTGGTACAGTATTTGTCTAGCCTATGTGAGGCTCTGGGTTCTGTCCCCAGTATGGCAGAAACAAAACAAGAACACAAAACAACTTCAAACATCATATACATCCATCCTGTGGATATAAACAGAAATAATTCTTGCCACCAAAAGCTCACAATGTGGTCTGAAGAAGATAGATAAACAAGTATTATTATGACTGGGAATCGTCATTATAAGGTTCATAAAGGGCATTCTGGTTCTGGAATTTGGAGGAAGCAATTTATACCTCTACACACTGATCTTGAAGAAGTTGGGAAAATTTGACAAGGAGGATAATAGTTGTACTGGGCAGAACCTTAATTGTTAACAGATTGCACAAAAGTATGGTAAGCAAAGGAATGGCACATGTAAATGACATAGCTTAGGAGCATGCTCACTTGCTCAGCACAGTTTATAGTTACCTGTATTTACTTGAGTGTTTTACCCAGATAAATGCTCTACTGTAAGGGAAGAAACCATATTTACTTTGACCATTGTAGTCTCAGGTTTTAGCATAATTCCTCAAATTTAACTTTAAGAAATGTTTTTAATTTTTATTTTATGTGTACGAGTGTTTTGTCTGTGTGTAAGTGCACCCATGTCATGCAGTGCCCATGGAGACCAGAAGAGGGCATTGAATTCCCTGGAACTGGAGTTACACATGGTTGTTAGCCATCATGTGGGTGCTGGGAACCATCCCAAGGGGGCTGCAGAGATAGCTCAGTGGTTAAGAGCACTGGCTGCTCTTGCAGAAGCCCCAGGTTCAGTTCCCAGCACCCACATGGTGGCTATGGTGGCTAGCAACTGTCCACAACTCCAGTTCCAGGGGATCAAACACTCTTCTGACCTCCAAGGACACAGGTGCATGCAGGCAATACACTCATACACATAAAATAAAAACAATGAAATATTTTTTTAAAAAAGGAAATCTTTTTACAAACAGAATTACACATGTAAACACGCATGTTCAACCTCTTGCCCACAGACCACATGTGCCCCCCCAGGATAATTATGGATACAGTCCAATACAATCCTCATACAGTCCAGTATGAGGTGGTTTTCTGTTTTTTGTTTTTTGTTTTGTTCTGTTTTTACAACTTGATTGCTCTGTTAGAAAGCTTGAACTTTGTAGGTGACAACATCATGTCCCAGTATCAAAAGGCTGAACACACCTGCATGGTCTCCAGTAGTCTCTCTCTTGCATCCTACCTTCCAGGACACCTTGATAGTACCCTGGTACCCATTCTTAGAACTTAACCTACAAGGAACATTGTTTGAAAACCACTGCGAGAGATGTACTATATCAAAATCTTAAGGGTTTTGTCTGTTTTAGAATTGCATAGTGTTGCATGTGTGGTGTCGATGTATTCACTCTTCACCCTTAGAAGCAAAATTAAAGCTTGTTTATACATACTAGTAAACTGATTTTTACATAGTTATGTTTTGAATTGTATACATTTTATTGGTTTTAGTTAAGGCACTGATAATTATTTATAATAGTGATAATAAAGGTATTTGTATGTGTGTGTGTGATTCTCATGTCTGTTTTCCAGACCGTTTGGAGGGTGACAGATCAGAAGGTTCTGGTCAGGAGAATGAAAATGAGGATGAAGAATGAACAACTCTTTGGCAAGCACTTAGATGTTCTGCAATTTGTATACATTTATTATATTTTTTTCTTTACAGAACTTTAGTGCAATTTAAGGCTATGGTATTTTGGAGTTCTTCCCTTTTGAGGGGATAACCAAACATTGGTTTGGAATGAGTGTGTGCATGAATTTGGGAGTGTGTGTAAAACAAAACAAGCAAAATGTTTCTGAGATGTTTTGCTGTGTATGACGTGCTCAAAATGCAAAGTGCAATATTTTCCCTAACCTTCAAATGTGGGAGCTTGGATCAATGTTGAAAAGTCATTTTCATTATAGTGAAATGTTGGTTCAAATAAATTTCTATACTTGCCATTTGCATGTTTGTTCCTTTCTAATTAAAGAAGTCGGTTGTTTTAAGATAGCCTACATTTGACTTTTTATTTCTGTGCTACTCTGACCTACACTTTCCAGTCTTTTCTCTAACAAAAGAAAACTAATTTAATAACATTTTCCTTTTTGACTTATGTATGACTGAATAACATAAAAGGGCCTTTTCATTTCTTTCCGAAGTATTTTCTCTTCACCTTGAGTTAAATCTTTTATAATCCATGGTACCTCATCTCACATCAGTCATTGAGCCTCATGGGTTGTTCACATTAGTGCAGACTACTGAAGATACTGGCTTTTGATCTATCTCTCTATCCACATTCCAGATTTTCCTGCAAGCTGTTGATTGTCTTGTTTGAATTTGTTGGTCTTCCTAAGTCCACTTCAGCCACACCTCTATGACTTCTACCCAGGCCTGTGTGTCTTGCAGGGTATGACCTAAAACTGCTCTGCAGACCTCACCTTTCCCACCTCCTGGGTTGTCTGCTTGTGTCTTTCCCTCAGGCTAGTCATGCTCATGATGATGCTTTAATTTTCTTCAGTCTAATGATATGCTCACATTATTCCAGTCCATTTACAAAATGAAGTCTTTTCTCAATGCCACATTATTCTGTGTTTATATACATTCTAGCTGTCATCCAAATGAGCACCCATGGCTGCTGCTTACTATTTTTCTGATGTTGAAAGCCTCTTCCAGAAGCCAGACCTGCCACATGAGAGGCCATGGCTGCCTCATGATACTTTGGGGGTAACAATTTAAATATGGCAGAGTGGTGTGCCCGTTGTTTAGTAAGCCAAGATGACTAAGCAAGTGCTTGTGTTCTCCCTCTCCTTTCTCTCTCTCCCTCTCTCTCCTTCTCTCTCCCTCTTGCTCAGTATTTGCTGTTACAGATTTCTGGGTATGATGGGACATTGACTCTCCTTTTTAAGAGGGAGCTGTGGTCCCCCTCTTGTGAGCTGCTGCCATGGTCCCCTCCCGTGAGCTGGAGCTGTGGTCCCATCCTGGGAGTTTGGAGCATTGCCACCTCCCCACTTCCCCTTAAACCAGAGTTGTGGTCTCCTCCTGTGAACTTGAGCTCTGGTCCCCCTCTGTGTACCTGAGCTGTGGTCCCCTCCTGTGAGCTGGATCTATGGTCCCTCACATGAGCTGGAAGCTCTGGACTGGAAGCTCTGGACCACTACTATGAGCCACAGTCCACACTCCTCTGGTAGGCTCATGGTGGAGCAGAGTAAAGGAACATGGAGGACTTCCTGATGTTTCACAGCAGTTTCAGTCTTCTCTGGATGACTACATTCCCCACAGCCCCCTTCCCTGAGGTCCCAGGTTGTGCATTGCAGAGGCTTTGCCTCTTATGCTCTGCAGAGGGGAGGCCCCTTTTATTTGCAAATTCTGGTCTTGGGAAGACATTTTCTGGAATGGCCCTACCACCCTGAAGGCCCAGGTGTGGTCCTCACTCTGTCTGTGGTCCTGGATATCCAGGCCTTGATGTTGGACCTCTCCCCTAACCAGGCCCCAAGAGAAACATGATTACATTGAAAGACTGCATAGGTTGGAGAATTTGGAAAGAGAATGAATAGCAAACTCACATAGGAACAGGGACAGATTTCACATTGTTGAAGCTTAGTAGTACAGTTTTGTCAGGAAACAATATTAGGGTAAACAGAATTTCAAATTTATATTCTAAGATACAATTACATATTTTTAGTTTGAGAATTCTATCAGTTTAGAGACTGCAGTGTCTACTTCTTTTTTCTTGTTTTTTTAAACTTCCCAGACTGTGATTTTTATCTCTAGAAGTTCAATTAGGGCATAGGTAAAGGCACACTGGGGCTGTAGAAGAACAATAGAAAAATAATGCCTTCTTTTATTGAAAGTAAGTTCATCACTTTCAGTTTAATTAGTAGGCAATTTGAATGTTCCTGATATTTTCAGAAATAAAATATACCAGAGAAGAATTGATGTCAGATGCTAAGAGTAGTACATAACCTGTCTGCAGTTGAGCCATGAACTGTGTCAAAGGTATAGCAAGCATCTATCCTGTATTGGGAACAGGGACATACTGCCACAGGATGGTAGCATACTCCAAGAGTATAGATACCTGCTGCTGGCAGAAGATAGCTTTGTCGTGGAAGAATGTAACTCCAAGTTACTCAGTGGGGTTAGGTTGGATTTCAGCATCCAGCTTTTGCCTTTGTTCAAGGCGATTCTAATGTGAATACCAACATTAGAAAATTTGGTCAATGATAAAAGGGGTGAAGTAATCAGAGATTTAACCAAACCAGGTAACTGCTTGGTTTCTGGAAAGTGCAAAAGTCTCAGTATTTGATTCCCAAAAGACTGCCTGCCCTACTTGTTTGGTCTGGTTTCTCTGGGTTTGTAAAGTGGAGACAATCTTATTTGTCTTCCTCCAGGATCACAGCACACAATGTGATGTCACTTAAACATCCATTACATCAAAGCAGTAGTGTGAATTTGCATCATAAAACTGAGGACAGGCTACTAGGGTCTCAGGTCAAGGGGTAACTTGGCAGGAAAAGCAGCAGAATAAAGGCAAATGGCAGGTATCTGCACTGGTGCAGCACTGGGGGAAGGGTGTGTGACGGGCAGGAGGAATGGGAACTATGTATGTGTTGCTTGTTTTTTTCTGGGAACCTGAAACTGCTCTTATTTATTTATGTGAAAAGAATTAGGTCTCCTACTAGCCATAGCAATTCTATAGATAATTCTGGTAGTTATTACTCATGAGCAGAGCAACTAGACTTTTAAGGACACAGCAAAGACAGAATTGTCCTGGGTGCTTCCAAGATTCAATGGAGGAGGCAGTGGCAGAAAGTTAGGAGACAGGCCCCAGGGTTCACTTAAAAGAGATTACTTCAGTGGTAGCAGGTGAGGCATTCAGGTAAAGATGGGCCTTGTACCAAGGTGTTTCTGTGTCTCTGAAGCTACTTAGCTTCCTTGACCTTTGAGATGAAGGCTCAGTGCATGGATAGATGAAGAAGCACTGATTTCATTAAAAATCAGGTTTGGAGGGGGCTGGAGATATGGCTCAGCGGTTAAGAACACTGGCTGTTCTTGCACAAGACCATGTTCTAGTGTAGAACGTGGCAGTGTAACAATAATCCATGAGCTCAGTTGCCTTGGGGAATTTATGAAAAAGTCATAGATGGATATATCCAAGTGACTTTAATATGAGCATCCCTACCCCCAATTCTGCAGTAATCTCCCTCTTGCTTAGTCCTCTTTTTAGTCCATGGGGAGCTGAGATAGGAATATGACTGTAGAACATGACGGAAAGGGACAGGCATCCAGAAAAGTCCATGAGCTTAAGTTCAAGTGCAAATTGACAATTTCCACAGCTACACATATTCCAAAAACATTTAATCAGGTAAATAAAACTATTCTAAATACACTTTTACTTATTCATAAATATTGATTTATATATAATAACCCTAAACATGTTCATCTTCAAAAACACATTCAAAAACTTCTAGTTAAATATATTCAGGATTAGCTTGGATTGTTTTATTTTAATTTTATTTATTTTATTGGGACAAGTTCTCCTTGTAGCCCCAGCTGGCCTGGAACTCACTATGTAAACCAGGATGGTCTTGATCTCAGAGTTCCACCTGCCTCTGCCTCCCAAGTGCTGGGATTAAAGGCGTGTTCTACCATGCCCAGTTTTTTAACCACTTTTTCTTCCAAGTGTCTATCATCAGAACAGCACAAGACTCTCCTTTAAGCATGCCTATACCACTGATGGCTACATCCATTTCCAGGCACGCAGGATTTCTACCACACTTAACGTGGTCTTGTCCCTCAAGTCCTCTGGGACTTTTTTTCCTCTGGGAGGAACTGACTCACCTGTAATTTTTGGTGGTTCGAATGGTGTCAAAAGGAAAACTGTAAGTGGCTGCTAATTCCCAAGCCATTAATACTGCTTTTTAAAAAAATGCATTTTGAAATAAACACAGCTTGGTGTATTATATTTTCCTAAAAATTACACTGACCAAAACTGTGCTCTTGGTAATTTTGTATGGATTGGTCCTGTGCTTTGAATTCTTGCCAGAAAATCAGTTGCCTTACTTTGGACCTTCAGTTTTTTTAAGCCTGGCCAACAGATATTAATACCCAAAAACCCCTTGGTTCTTTTCACCTAGCTAATGAAGTCCAGCTGGCCTACTGTGATAAGATGACTTTTAATCCCCATTTCTCATCCTTGAACGACAAAGCTAGCTCCTTCTTTCTCATGACCAAGACCTGGGATTTGGCCCTGACTCTGGCTCACCTCACTTTGAGACCTTGGTTTCCCTTGACCATCCTGGAGTCTATGTATCCCCTCTCACTGATCCCCAGGACAATACCAACCTGATGCTTCTTGTAGTCCTTGATGGGCTAATCACAACCACGGTCCATGGCTCAGGTAAAGACTTGATTTCCCCTTTCCCTCCCACAGGCTTCCTAGGGTTTGTTCACATTCTGATAATGGTATGGACCTGTACTCCCTCTGCCCCTTCCCCCAGAAGCCTGGAAGACTAGTGCTTCTGGGGACCAAGAGCCACAATTCACCATCACTGCTGGACAGAGTGGTCTTCAGCACCTAAAGGCACTTTGAGGGGAGAATTCTTTTCTTGGTGTAAGGAAGGTCAAGGCTGAATTGATGTGATTTGGGGCTTTACACATTATCTTTGACTCAGGGCAATGTATAAATAGTTCAGCTTTTTGCAATCACGCCATTAACATGAAAGGAAGACTTTAATAGAAAAGCTCATTTTGTTCCTGCAAACCTCTTGTGTTCCGAATGCTACTCAGCCTTTGCACCCTCCTTTCTACTGCCTTCCCTTCCTCACCGCATCACTTCCCAGAAGTCTTTTTGCACTGCATAGCAAACAATTCTGGCAACAGCCCTCAACATCAACTTAGTTATCCTACATTGGCTAGTTATCTTTCCAAGAGTCTCACTTCTTGTTAGAGATCCCTCTAAAACAGGAAGGCTTCAGCTCCATCAGTTACCCCATATCCTGTGCTGGAAACTCCACAAGCATGTCTTCCCGTAGTCCATACAATCACCTTATGAGGGCAGCATTCCTGTATTGTGTCCCCATGTACAAATAGATTACAAAATTTCATTTTACAGATGTAAGAATACTGAATGACTTGCCCAGGAATACTAGCTAGTAAGTGGCAGCCAGAGATCTGAACTTACACCCATCACCATACCCCATCTGCACACTGAAGCAAGGGGGAGATAGAGCATCTCAAGTTCCCAACTAAGTACCTAGCACAAAATAGGCTCTTAGATGTTCAAGTAGGACTTAGCACATGCTACTTGTTGACCTCTTGTTTAGCCACATCACCCTTACTATTCCTTCCATGCAGGAGATAGATAAGGCTCAAGGCTGGACACATTTCAGTTCATTGTAAGGTCCACCTGAGGAATGTCCCTAATTTGTAGTCGTCTGTCTCAGAAGCACATTGTTCATTTGGAAGAAACCCTCACACAGCTGTATCTTAACAGACTCGCAAGATCCCTCACTGTAGCAATGCTTTTGCCTCTTGTCCTGACCCAAACAACAGTGCCCTATTGCAAATACTGAGTTAATCTCATTGGTGGTGGTCTAATTCTTTGCTGGGAGGTGAAACCACATACAAATGAGAATCTAAGAACATTAGCACCAGGTAACCATGGTCCTAAGGGTCCTCCACCCTGCCTGTCCCAGGAGCATTATTTCACTTAGGAGCACACAGCTCAGTGCAGGCAGAACCTGTGAACTCGAATGGGTTCACATAAGGTAGGGATCACCTGCCAAGGCCAAGGCCTGCAGTCCTTGGGCTCAGAGGGGAAGAGCTTTCTGCCTGCAGCCAACAAGTCTCCATGTTAATCATCTTGTGTCTCACAACCACACTGCTGCCACCTTGTGTCTTAGGTCCTGAATCCCAGTGCTGATTGTATGCACTGTAGTGGGGGGGGGGGGGCAAGCCTTCGGGGATACAGCAGCCCCCATAGCTGGCATCAGGAGCACAGCACAGGAGGCAAGTCAGGGGGAAGTCTTGATAAAAAACTTGTCAGAATCCAAAGACACAGGACTGAGGTATTTAAGCATCAAGTAACCAACTGTCCTACCTGCCCCTACCCATGGGTTCCCTCAGGAAAACCTCAGTCCTGCCACTGTACAGTACTTTGCAGTTAATGGGGCTGGGTTTAGTTGGGTTGCTGGGCTTCTACACAAATGCAAGTGTTCTCCAAAGGAGGATGATAGAATGTATGGACTACCTCTTCTCTCTCCCCACCCACTTCTCTCTCTAGCTTAAATGGGAAAATTGGAATTCCTGAATATGAAACAAACTCTAAAACAAAACAGCTCAGTCACCTATTTCACAGACCTATCCTTAGCACCTTGGCTGCAGTACTCATCTGATTTGGAGCACAGTTTTGTAATATTTGCCTGATGCTCTGCATCAGCATCAGTATCTCCCAGGCATCTCTTTTAGATGGCAAGCACTCTGGTATTACCATGTATTGAGGTGCTCTGCAGACCTGCAGTGTCAGATGAGTGAATGAATGGGCCTCACTCAATTTAAAAACAAAAAAAGGAGGAGCATGACAGTGAAACGCAATGTTTCTAGGTTAGTTTTTTGCTGTTCCAGCAAATATGGGGTCAGCCAGGAGGGCTCAGAGGCCTCGGGATCTTCTATAGAGCCCAGCCCAGGGCAATCAGGAAAGAGCTCTCCAACCTTTGGGTCTTAAGCCAATTTATTGCACTAACTGGCAACTCATCCCAGAGGTCAAGGTTTCTGTCCACCTTTTGTGCATACTGGTTAGTAAGGAATATGATCCCTTCAGACAGAAAAGGGTATATACGGAATATATAAACATACACAGGAGTGCTGCCAGGAGCAACAGCAGCACCTGGCCTCTACTGCCTACTACTTCCTCTAGAACCTCTCCAGCCCCCAGCACTACTGACCCAGAGTTGGTGGTGTTAATGAAATTAACTGCACAGAAGCAGGCCCCATGGTTCATGTCTTCTGTATCCTACAAACCGGGGGACCAGAGGAAAAAGACACTGCACCACTAGCAGCTGTGCAGATCCTAAAGAAAACACTTGAAAGGTAATTCACTTTCTGGAATAGCTGCCTAGTAGCAGACAGGGCAGGTTCACCTTGGAGTCTACCTCTGCTCACCAAAGCAAGGAGAGTCCTGAACAACGCTTATTTAAGCACCCAGACTCAGAGGAAGGGGACTGACTGGCTTCCAGAGTCACCACAGCAACCACTCAACCAAACTACTGGTTCTAGCTCAAAGAGAGACCGAGGGGGCCAAGCCAACAATCCCACCTGCCCTCCCCCTCAGCTGCAGGACCCTCTTTCTTCACACTTGTGTCTCAGTGGTTGGCATTCAGTTGTTTGCATTGCTCTAAACAATCGAGTGGTACCAGAACACAGGACCAGAGTGGGCAGGTAGCTTTTCGTGTGCTCACTAGGGCCACACTCAAAAGCATACAAATGCTGGTTCATGGGTCATGTTTCAGTTTGTTCCCATCTCTGTTACAAATTCAGAAGACATCAAAGACCAGAGCTGGAATCATTTCACAAACAACCTAGAGAAGTAACAGTATATGTAAGTGACACATGCAAAGGCCAAGCTACACCAATAACCGAGGTTGCAAACTCAGTTCCTTTTACCTTAGGCCTGCCCCAAGTTGAGGCCACCTGTGTGTTTGTTAGTCACTCAAGCATCTCATTTTGTATGTCATGAGTTGCCCCCCGCCCCCGCAGCTTGACATCACAGCCCCAGTCTTGTGATAGACCCTGACCAATTGTTTTTATTCAATTGTTTTTTAAATTCTGGAAATGAAATACCTGGTACTCTCCCTTCTGTCTTTTATAGTGGTTTCTCCCTTTTCAAATACCAAAGAATCAACAAGGAGGTGGATGGGGTGGGGCCCATCCTAGATGGCCTGTGGGCTGTTCCTACTTGCATCAACAGGAGGTCCCACCAAGGCTAAGTCATAACCAGGGCAAGAGAGATCTAGAGTGCTCTGCTCTTGAGTGCTCTCTGGACCATCTAGTGCTGGTAACCCCACAGTCTAGATCAACCCCCATGGAGCCCTGGATGGGCTTGCAATACTGAGAGGGGCTGTGCTGTCCTGTGAGGTCACTGAGCAGGGTTCACCTCCGGAAGCCTCTCTGAGAGTATGTGTGACTGGACCAGGCTGGGTACAGGTTATGAAGATGATCCACAGGGTGGCTTCCTGTTAAGCCTGTGGTCTCTAGTTCCCCAGTATACCCCACCTCCCCAAGCCCCAGTCACATCTCCAGCTGCTTTTTCTTTGTGCTTTGAAAGTCTCTGGGTCCATCCCTGGGACCTAGAAGCAGCCCACATGTGCTCTCCCAGCAGGTACTAAAGTCAGAGACTTGGAGACAATTTCAGTCCTTCTGGTGGCTGTACACCAGATGTTTCCTTCCCCACATTTGTCCCACTGAGAGAGATGATGTGTTCCAGGGCCCTGGCACAGGCAGTAGGGGGAATCCTTTCACACTCCAGTAGCTCTGCTGTGGCCCCAGTCCCCTGAGCCCCTCACCTCTGTTCTGCAGCTAAGATGTTCCCTTCTTCAATGCTCTGTAGCTGCAGCCTCTGATTCATTAGAGTCCTACTGCCTCGGCGGCCCCCAAAGCCAGCCCCTGGGACAGTCCGTGCTGTGAACAAGACCCCTGGCAAGGCCTCCTCCCCAAATAAGTTGATTTTAGCTTCAGCTTCAATGGCTTTAGCCAAGCTGGCTGCATAACTGTCCAAGGACTTGTGTACTTCAGCCTTCACATGAAGAACAGAGTGCTTGGCAGCCTCTGTGGGGAAAAGCAGAAAGGTGAGCAGAGGAAGACCCATGACCATCCCAGCAATAAGACTGACCTCTGTTGACTTGCTTCGCTGCCCCAGGGAGGGGAGGGGAGCTGGGGATTACAGAAGGGTTTTGAAGTCAGATTCCCCAGGCTAAAACTCTGGTTTCCCAATTTACCACCCAAGAAATGCTAGGTGTTAACTTGAGTTTCAGTTTCTTGGTCTGTAAAGAGAACTCTCTTACCTCATAGGGTTACTGTGATGAATGAGTGAATTCTCTCTAAGATGTTTAGCCTAGGACTGGCCCCTAGAAAAGCCTTGATTAACATTTCCACTAATGCTATCACAATGTTTACATCTTTTAATGACTTTTGTTCTTTTGGCCCTCTGGAAGAGCATAGTGTCTGGTCATAAACTTGCACAGACACAAATGTTACGTCTCTGGCTCTCCATTTCACTCAGAGCTTACCTACATGTAGAGACCCTCATGTTTGGAAATGGCAGTTGACACAGTTCCTGCACCTACGTCTAATTAGGACCACTGACAACTATGAATGGGAAAGAGGAATGAAGGTGGCACTTAACTTCACAGCCTTTGTTACAGACCTCACTGCCTAACGCTCAGGATGTCTGGGGGAGTAACTTCTCACATTTTCTGGAGAACAAGCAATTTGTACCCTACTCTCTGGGAGGGAAGAGTAGAAGACACCTGGCTCCGGGAAGGTGTCAATCCTTGCAGTTAGGAATTAAGAGTTTAAAACAGAACTCTCTCCTGGGTTTTAGCACCAAAATGTTACAAATAGGAATGGAAAGACTCACAGGTGGAAAAGAAAAGCAACCAACCTCAACAATCCAAATTGACCTTTATTAGTCAATGAGGGGGACTACTGACCAGTGGGAGTCCGCAGTAGCCACACATGCCACACAGCAGGGGAACTTAAGTACCTTTGTGCATATAAATTGAGTCATGGGAGTTGGGTAAAGGATTTAGGGCCCTCATTCCCCCTCCACAGAAGGACTTGTTTGCAGAGCTTTATGGTTTAGGGGTTCCTGGACAGATTTGTTTTCAGAACAAGAACAGTTTGTGATTGGGGTGTTTGTGGGGCTCTCCCTTTGCTTGCTTTCAGCACCTGCAGAGGGTGCTCTGCCCTATGACCAACCTGCCCCATGATGGAGACACAAAGGGGTGGCTTGGCTGTGTGGTTGGGGATCTGGAGAAGAGTCTGACTCCCTTTAATATAAACCCGCAAGGCAGCTGGCTAGCTCTACTCTTAAATCTGCTTTGCCAGAGAAGCAGATGCTTAAATATCTTCCTCTCTGACCTCCTCATTCTGAATTCAGGAAGAGGGGTGGAAGGGGAAATTAACAATGGATCCACATTTATTTTCATATTCAGCATTTATGTCATAAGGCCCTGGGGCTTTACCACATTGATGTCCCTGTTATGCCAGTGGCTCTTCTCACTTGGTGAGATTTCAAATGAAAAGAGATTCTTACATCCCGGGCAGCCTGACTGGCATCTCTGTCACTGTCTACTTATCATGTTGGAATGGGAAACTAACCCAGGTCCCCGAGGCAACAAGGGTGCTGGGTGTCAATAGGTGAAGTGAGGAGCGCAGACAATGGATGCATATCCTCACAGGGCTCAAGTACTCAGGTACACTAGTCAGTGTTGGGGTAAACATCAGGATGGCAGTTTGGCCTCCATTCACAGGGCCTTCTTTCCACTATGAATCAGCAGGCTCAGAGGAGCAGCTTCAGATCTATAACTGCACATCACCAATAAAGGAAAGAAACTAGGGAGGGCTCAGAAACTATTCTATCCAATCAGGCTGTTTCCCAAGGGAGATGTAAATTGGAATTTGAGCTTGTGCTGTGTGTGTGTGTGTGTGTGTGTGTGTGTGTGTGTGTGTGGTTTTCTACGGTTGTATTAACCTGTTTGCTACTTGCTGAGTCAGGTGCCTGTGGGGACTGGAGATGAGTAAGATCAGCAGGGCTGTACTACTCAGGGATGAGCAGAGGTGATGTAGCCCTAGTATGTTTGGGGGCAAAGGTCTAGCTGAGCTAAGAAAACTTCCCAAGATCCCCTCCTTGTCCCTATGTTTTACTGTAGCAGTCCCATAAACCCACCTTTGATCTGTTCCACTTCATCCTCAAATGTCACAGAGCTCCTCCTCTTGGGTGGGCAAGTGCAGTGGGAGGGAGGGTTGTCATCAGACGCACAATCTTCCAGCAGCATCACATCCGTCCCTAAGGCGAAGGGCAGACTGTGCACATGTGACTAGAAACACTGAGGCTGCCTTTTCCCCCTCTCTGCATACCTCATGACCCTGTCTCCCAATCCTTCAATCCCACAAGCAGGTGCAGCCAACTGTCCTGCAGCATCTGCCTAAGAGAGAAACAGCCTGTGTATCATCCCATTCTGGAAGTTTGCAGACAGGGGTGGGGCCACCACACACATCATAGCACCTGAGGAACAACATCCAAGGTACCCGAGGTGGTGCTCTGGCCTGTGCATGCACACACACACACACACACACACACACACACACACACACAGTGTAACCCCCCTCAACCCCTCATACACAGTCACCTCTGCCTTGGCTTATGTTTCCTGTTACTCTAGGATACTGTCATGAAACCCTTGGTGGGGAGAGGGTAGGCCTGTGGCTGGCTCCTACATGGGGTCATCAGTCAGAGAGAATTCTCTGTGGTGCAGGATCTTCCCTCAGGATGGCCCCTCATCTGGCAGCGCAGAGGGCTCAGAACACACAGAATCCCAGGGACCATTGGCAGTACTGCTCCCTAGCTCTGCACCCTCTGTGATTTGAAAGAATGGTCTCTGCCTCCGCAGGCTATTTCCCCATGTTCAGTCAACATTCACTCACTGAGCCCTGCCTTGGCCAGGGCCTGGGCTCAGCTCAGCTAGGTCCCCAGCCCCAGAGATGACTTTTCAAAGGCTCCCAGGAGAGCTAGTGGAGAAGCACCCACTGTAGAGCTTGCTGCTTGTTCTGGGATTTGGTACCACTCCCACCATAGTCCAGAACATCAACCAGCATCAGCCTCAGAAGTAGCCAGCTGACTCTGTTCTCGTACCTGGATCTGTGAACTGGGTGGATGAGGAGCCACTGCCAGCCTCAGTCCATATGACTCCCACCCAGCGCCCCTCAGTAAAAACAGACTGTGGCCTTCAGGACTCCCCACAAACACAGGAGCAGAAGGACTGTGCAAGCTCTCTGGCAGTAGTAGCTAAAGGGCATGGCTGGAGGATGTGTGGTGATGTGCTTCTTCTGGTAGCTGGAGTTCCCCCTAGAGAGGCAGGGCATAGAACAAGCAAGGCCAGCCGACCTGGGCAGAGGGCTTCTTCTGTGCCAGGGCCTGAGATAAGTTTTCACACTCATATACCTTTTAATTTTCACAGCCACCCTTTGATAAGGGAACAATTACCCCCATTCCCAAATGGGGAAACTAAGATGTAGAGATTCAGCAACTTGCCTAAGACCCACAGCTCCTAAAAGGCCAGCAGGAAGCTGAGAATCAGGTAAGTTGACTCCAGGGCCTGACCGGCCAAATGGCTATTACATTTAGAGTAATGCATAGGCTTTTCATAGGCTTTCATTTACCTTCAAGCTCCCATAACACCACGTGGCAGGAGAGCAGGAACTGAAAGACCCATTTAATAAAGGAGGGAATAGAGACACAGAAAAGCTGCAGGGCTAAGAGCCACGACTAGAAACCGAGCTTGCCCCTCCTCCTCCCAGCAAACAGATGAGTTTCACAGCAGCAATTTCACCTGCATCAGGGAAACCCAGGTGAGAGCTGTGGGAGGCATGAAGGTTACCTGAGTCCTGAGAACAGCTGAAGCCAGTGTCACCAGTGCTGCTGCTGTGTCCCAGGGGTTGGGCACCTGCCATGAGTGCCGTGAGGTGTGGGGACAGGCCCAGGTCTGAAAGGCGAAGTTGGCATTGATTGTATAAACACAGGTTGCTTGGGTGGGCATCTGCTCCCATGTTGGGCAGCTGACTCTATGGTTTCAGTCCCCCAATAGGGGCTCTATTCCACATGCTCTCCCTTGCAAACTCAGTCCTGACCCACTGAAAGACAGAAGACCTTGGCTGTTCCCTGACTTTGCCCCTCATTCCCATCCTGTTTCCATCCTGCTTCCTCAGGACTTACTAAACTCCCCACAGGGAAACCTCTTAACCTTGTGAGACACCAAGGCAAGCAAGCAGAGGAAAATCTAAGGTAAGCAGTCCTGTGAGGAGACCTTCCAGTTACACATGGGAAATTGAACCTTTAGGTTTACCCTCAGGAATCCTACTTAAATATTCAAAAAAAGTCTTCACATGATCTGGGTGAATCTCAGCACTCTGGAGGCAGGGGCAGGTGAGATCGAGGCCAGTCAGGGCTACATTAGCAAGTCCCAGGCCAGCTGAGACTACAGGAAAACCCTGTCTCAAAAGACCAAAAAAGTCTTTCCAAAGGTGGAGTTTGTAGAAGTTGGAAAGCAAAAGAATGAAGACAAAAGAGAGTAACTCAGGATAGAGAGGTTGGTGGGAGGCCTGGAAAAGCCTCCTTCTCATTCAGGGCTGCAGGCAGGTGGGCTCTGACTCCAACTCACTTCAGTTATCTGATCCCAAGTGTTGGCAAAAGAGCAGAGAGAGTGAACCAGGGGGCTGTGGCATTGGAGACCCCAGGGGCAGAGGGACCCAGTCAAAACTGAGGAAATAAAATAATGGAAGTTACAGGAGGACTCTTCCCCAGGAAAACCAGTCAGCCCCCCAAAAGACATGTTGGCGGAGACAGCAGGTAGCCTGTGAGAGGGCTCGGCTGGACCACCCTACAGTCCAGCTGCCTGCTAGCCCTACCTCACCCCAGCCTTCTCAATGGCTTTCCAGTGTCCTATTATTAAAGTTGAAGGGATGGCCAAGGACCACCATGCAGTTAAAGAAAGGCACCAGCATAGCAGAGAGATTTTTTTTTAAAGGAAGAAAAATGGATCTAAGGGCAGACAGTGCAAGGATCTTAAGAAAGAAAAGATGATAATTAAGTACCTCATAAAGTTCAAAAAATAATAAAGCCATTAAAAAGAGCTAGGGGCTATTAAAAAATAAATATGGACATAAAAAGCTCTTAGAAATAAAAAACATAGGCCTGAGAGATTGAATGTCTGCTGTGGTTTGTGCCCCTGAAAGTTCATGTGATGGGAAGTCAGTCTCCAAGACCAGAGTGTCTGAAGGTGGGGCCTAATGAATAGACTAATGTGGTTATCACTAAAGGGAGTCAGTTACCCGAGAATGGCCTAGGTATAAAAGTGAGCTTGGCCCCTCATTCTCTCTGTTTTTGCCCTCTCTTGACTTCCACCTTCTACCATGAGAGAACACAGACATAGACCCTCACCAGATGACAGTGCTGAGCTCTTCAGACTTCCCAGCCTCCGGAATCATAAGCCAAATCTAAATCTCTGTTCATTATAAATAATCAATCTCCAGTATTTTAGTACAGTAGTAGAAAACAGACTAAGGCACGGTCATAGAGTACACTCTTGTATTCTCATGCCGTATATTCTCAGATAGGAGAAACTCTGCTCTTTAATTTTATCCATCCTCATGTTTCTGTGGGTGCAAGGTGATAGAACATACTCTTTCCTTTCTTCCCTGAAGACAAGGAGAAAATGGTGGGGGTGACATGACACAATCACAGCTGGCTTCTCTCAGAACTGCCTTTTCCCATAAGGAACTTTCTCTTTGATTTTCAGCTTTTCTGGGGGTTGGTTACAAGGCTAAGACTAGAACCTGAGCTCTCCCCTGCACCTGACCACCCTCTCTGGGAGCTTGGCCTCTGAGCATGGTTATGTTTAACAGGAGGCCTGATGGGGAGTGGAGTCCTTGAATGCCACCTCCTGGCAACTGGGATGGTGGTGGCCACAGTGGGTTTGGACACCATTTCTGAGGCTGCAGCAAAAGCCAGGAAGATGTCTTGGTCTCCTCTAGTGAGAGGGATCACTTGAGCCAGACCACTGTGGCTCAGCTGCAGGCCTGGAGATGGGCAGTGAGACTGTATCTCTCTTCCTGTGTTTATCCAGCATTTCCCACTGAAGAGCAGACATAACTGCTCTGAGATGTCACATGGAGCAACACCATATTTTGTGGGGCTGGGCGAGGTCCAATACTCCCCCCCCCCAAAAAAAAACACCCTCAAAGGCACTAATGCATTTTAGAAGCTGAAGAATGGACAGGATTCTGAGAAGCAGCGGGCACTGAACCTAAGAAGACCAGGATGTGAGATGCCACCAAGAGAGAAACTTAGAAAAGCAAGGTAGGAAAACTCAAAGGCCCCAGGGTTACCCCTTCCTTCTTCTCTCCAAGACCTCTCCAAGTAACCAGGGACAGGAGGCACCTTCCTCTTAGTGAATGACAGATAGTACCTTCCTTTCCAGTAGAAAACTGGAGAGGTTCTGCCCTCCGTCATAGGGGCCTCAAGTGTAGCCCCAGGTGAGAGGGCGATCTCCACAGCTGGGGACAGGGGTTGTTGTTGGGCTCCTGGGCTCTGGCTGAGCACGGGGGTCTGCATCACTGGGAGTGGGCTCCACTAGAGTAGAGCACTGTGTGCTTGCTGCTTCTCCTTCCCTCTCCCTGCCAGAAGCCCCCTGTCAGCTTCCAGTCTGTATTACAGTTCAACATCCTAAGACTGAGAGTTAGTACTCAGCTCACCTTTTAGCACTATTTGAAAGCAACCTCCAGGCCAAAGCTGCCCCACCACCAGGAAATGGCACTGCCTGGCAACCTCCCGGTGTCCGGGAGATCTCAATTCCTACATGAGACCTCATTGTGAACTTCTGCTAATGAGACCTCAGAAGAAGAAGGGCTTGGTGGATCAGTGACAGCACACGGCCCCCCCCCCCCCCCCGAAAAAACCATTCTGTGTTGGGGTACAGGAGAAAAAAATCCCCCCCCGGAAAAGCATCTTTAGTTTGAGGTGAATAGGAAAACTAAAATCCACCGGTAATGGCTGAACTCTGATCTGCATGAAACAGCACTGTCATGCGCTTGGAAAGCTGTTGGCTCCTGAATCAGCCAGGACGGTCCAGGCACATGTGGAATTCTGCTTGTCATAGCCCATTAGAAACTTTTAGGAAAGCTTCTAATTCCACTTACGCATTTTTTGGGTGAAAAGTTTTTAAGTGTTGCACAAGTGGAGACCTAAAACTGAGTACAAGTCATCTTTTGTACCCCTGACAGATACCAGGGCACTTGACTTCCCCAAGGGTGGAGAGCAGAAGCGGGCTCGCAGCAGAGGAGGAATGTGATTCTCTGCATTTAAGAATCAGTTGCAGTTCAAAGCCCTGTGCACAGAGGGCAGTGGCATGGTCTGATGAGCCTGAGACTGAGGGGCCAAGACATGCATGAAGGCCAGGATGGCCCCGCCCCACCAGGAAGACAATGGTTATTCCTGGCATGGATGGCACAGGGTGTGCTGCTGGGATGGACCCACATTCTGCCTTGCTCTCCAGCACCTATTGTACTGATGCCTGAGCTACGATCAGGCCCTCAGAACCAGTGCCCACTCCCAGTCCTGGAGAAGCCAAGGTTTCAGAACCCATTATCCCACAGGGCTGATTTCTCTGAACAAGGCTGAGACCGCCAGTGGCTTCGGGCTTGCCAACCTAACCACAGCTGGTGTTTTCTGCCAGCTCCCACAATCTCGCAGCCTCTTCTAGGACAATCAAAAGCAACTTGCATAGAAAATTTTGGCCACAAAGCAGATGCTCCTTTTTGTTCTGTCTACTCTTTCCTCTCTCATTCTGTCACTTTTTCCCCCTTTCTACATTTTTAGTTTTGTTGGAATAGAAAATATCTATTGGTTTTTGCCAAGAAGGTAAATGATTATCATAAAATCTGAACAAATAAATTTGCCAATAAAATGATTATTGTAGGGTGTGGTGGCACATGCCTTTAGTCCCAGCACTCAAGAGGTAGAGACAAGACTGTGAGTTCAAGACCAGCCTATTCTACATGGAATTCCAGGGGTTATGTGATGAGACCCTGTCTCAAAAAACACCCCCCCCCCAAAAAATGATTATTGTAAAATCTGAACAAAAAAGTTTGCCAGTCAAATGCAGGCTTGCAAATAGTGGGGGGGAGGGGGGCGACATTTCAAATTTCTAAATAATGGGATATGGAGAATTTTTTTTACTCCTATGGTCAAATAAAAGTCCCAGACTTCTCCTGTACAAAAAGAGCACTCCAGTCCAAGAAGTACGGCAGTGAGGCAGGTGCCAAATGGACAGGACCTCCTGTCATTTCTAGCCCTGAGTGTTTATAGTAATCAGGAACCATGTCTTTTTCCCTCTTGAGGGTAGTAGTGGGGAATCTCTATTTCCTGAAGAAGAAAAACTAGCTAGATGGTTTGATAAGGTGATCAGTCATCTGGCAAGAGTTGAGAACTACAGGCTGAAAGAGGTACCCTCAAAAGCTTGTTCCAAAAGCCTGACTAGAAGATAGTCTCCCTCAGCGTGGCCCTAAAATTCCTGCCGCCTTGCCCGGAACAACACAGCCATAACCGTGGAGGGCAAGATACACCAATGCATGCTAGACTGAGAAAAATAGGATCTTTCCCAGTCTCAAGAGTCTATTCTGTTGCATCCATTAATTAAAATGGAACAACAGCAACTGTACAGTGGAGAAAGCTCACAGACCAAACCTGACCAAGAGGTCAAGGTAACTTAACTAGTAATAAAACATACAGACACATGTGCCCCGATCTGATGCATGAACAGGAGCCCATCACCCCTACAGCATTCTTGGAGCACTAGAAGACCTATTCAGGAGCACTCTACAAAATGCCTGAACAACGCGTTACAGAAGTGTGAAGGTAGGGCCAGGGGTAGCTCACTGGCAAAGCACTTTCCCGGCATGTGAGTGTCTAGGTTTGATCTGGTGTCACAGTTATGCAAGATGGTAAGACTAAGGGAAGTTCCCTGCACTATTTTTCCAACGCTCCTGTAAATCTAAAATGTAACAAGATAAAAAGCTGGAAAAAATGTAATTCCTGGCTAGAACAACTCTGGATCTTGTCAAGGGCTTTAGGACTAATGCTGGATCAGCTACCAGATGGAGTAGCCTTGACTACAGGTCAGTGACACCTCAGTTAGAAGGCTATGGTTTGGCATCGACACCCCCCAGATTATCAGGGACCATTTAAGGAAATTGCTCCCCTGGGAGGGAAAGCCCAAGATGACAAGTGTTTGATAGGAGGGACAGGCTGAGTGAGCCATCAAAGGACGGGGAGAGTGCCAAAAAGAAGGGACACTGGAAAGCATTTGCCCAGCAGGGAGGCGGCTTCACTCAAGGCTTGGATTCTTTTTTCTCTACTAAAAAGAGGCTATATCCTGCAGACCATGAAGCCCTGGCTGGGGTCCCAGAAAGCAGATCTCTGAATCATGATGTTCCCTGTCTAATTCTTTGAGAATGTACAGCAGGGGCTCTGCTGGCCTCCTCCTCAGCAGGGCTTTGAGCAGCTAAGAGGTAGGCAGGTACTTGGAAGTCACTGTGGCTACTCTGGTGTGGTCCTTCCCTGCAGAAAATCTGTGCTTTGAGCCTTGAGGCCACAGTCATCCTGAGAACTCATCCACTGACAGCCCCTAAGCAGCTGAAAAAGTCCCCAGAAGACATCTGCCTCAGGACATTCCCAAATTACCTGTGATCCTGTTGGAAATGCTGAAGAGCCTGGAGGTTCTCTGTCGCTGCACAAATGACTCCCGGTAGTAACGATCCCCAAAACACATGCCCAGGAGCTCCTTGCGAACAGTCTTGTTCCAGAGTCCATAGATCAGAGGATGACAGATGGCACTAGTAAAGGACAGCCATGTGGCCCAAGTCTCCAGTGTCGGGGAGACATAGTTCTTCCCCCAGAGTGCCTCAGAGGTGATGACAACCATGTAGGGGCCCCAGGTGACCATGAAGGCACCAATGACCACCAGGATGGTGATGAGGGCTTTGCACTGGTTGGCCGAGTAGACCACGCCCTGAAAGGCATTTCTCCTACTGCCTGAAGAGGAGGTAGAGGTACTGGAATTTTTCCTCCCACTCCTCTGGGCGTCCTCCTCCACAATGACCACTGTGCCACAGTGCACCTTGCGGGCCTTGACTCTGGCTACACGGAAGATGAAGCCATAGCACACCAGCATGATGACGAAGGGGAACAGGGCACACCAGATCTGCCAGAAGACAGTGTAGCCAGGCTCCCGGTACCATGCAGCCACACACATCCACTTGAATTCATCAAACTCCACTGATGACCAACCAAATAGGGGCGGCAGGCAGCCAATGAGGGAGTGAAGCCAAATGTAGACAAGAGCCATCACAGCTCTGTTCCCCGTAATCTTCATAGGATACACCATCGGGTACAGGACAGCATAATAGCTAGAAAAAGACAGGGAGAGATAAGAGGAGTCACAGGGAGATAGGGTGCCCTGCTTTCCTGAGTTGGGGTTCCTGTGTGCCATGAAGGCTTCTAAAATCAGCACCTTCACCCAGCCCTCCCCAGACAAGTCACAGGCTGTACCCCATCACACAGCTGGATGCCAGAAAGGAAACAGTGTGCAGGTTGGCATATCAGAGCCCACTTGGGAGTGCAGCTACCCTTGAGGCCTCTTCAAGGGTCATGAGGATCATGTGGCAGGCCAGATCAGTTATGCTGTTGCTGGCGTTAATCCCTTAAGATCAGTTTTCACAGGAATCATGAAGAACCAAATGATGTCTAAAGACCATAAGTTTCACTCATTCTAGGGACATTCCTGAAAATCTGCAATGTGCCAAGCACTGGACTGTGTCCTGAACACACAGGTGAGAAGACACTGGGGAAGGCAGACCTCTGGGAGTGGGAAAGGAGCATGCTGAGTCCTCATGCTGTAAGCAGAAGTTCTCACTATGTGAGCAAGAGTTCTCACCCTCATTTCACAGATGAAGACTCAAAAGCAGAGAGAGACTAAGTAACCTGCTCCAGGGGCTGGAGAGATGTGCTCAGCAGTTAAGAGCACTGACTGCTCTTGCAGAGGACCTGGGTTTGATTCCTAGCACCCACTCAGCAGCTAACAGCTGTCTGTAACTCCAGTTCCAGGGGATCTGGCACCTTTTTTTCTGACCTCCACAGGCATTGCATGACACGGATGCATTTACATAAATGCAGGCAATACACTCATACACATAAAATTAAAAAATAATGAAAAAAAATTTTTTTGGTCTTTTTGAGACAGGGTCTCCCTGTAGCCCCAGCTGTCCTAAAACTCACTATATAGACCAGGCTGGCTTTATATATTTTTTAAAAAACTTGCTCCAGACATGTAGAAGAAACAAGTAACCTGATTCTATGGTCCCCAAGACATGTGTTCTGTAATTCCTTACAAGCCAAGTTGTTCCAGAGTCCATAGGTGGTTCCCATCATTCTCACAGAGGAAGTAGGCGAGTTCGAGTTGGCAGACCCTTAATCTAGATGGAAGGGTAGAAAACCCTTCCTAGAGGAGGTGACACTTGGTTCTGGGTCTTGAAATGTTGCATGCACTGGCCAGTGAACAGCCCAGGTGGAAAGCTGGACATGTAAGCAAATGCTAGTTCCATGGAGACATTCAGTCTAGTTCAATCAGGCAGGAGTACCAAATTCAAGGAGAGGGGAGAAGAAATGCCAGCTGGGTGGGTAGAACCTGGGTAGGCAGTACCTTGTAGGTCCTTCTAGGGAAAGGTGGGAGCATTCAGACCATGGGGTTGGAAGTAAACCATACGCTCCCCTTTCATACACTTGCTCCAAGGGAATGCTTCTGACATGAACAGGACTTTCCCATGAGGGCAAAGTGTGGGATGGTGTAGCCACATTGATGCTGCCTGGTACAGACAGGATGTTGGAAAATAGCTATAGGTATACTGCACACATCACCTATGAGGCTGTCTCCTCCACCTGGACCTTTCTGAGTCTACCTTCAGCACAAGGCTGATCAGCCACGTGCCCCTTGGAGGAGCTGCTCCTCAGTCAGTCATCCTACTCGGGGATGAACTTGGTGTCTTTTCAGGGTGAGCTGCAAGTTAAGGGACAAGTCTTAGTCTGGAAAGAGGGTACTCTTCTTTCTTGGGGGGCTTTGGGCCTGAATATGGGGTCCTGTTGTGTCTATGGTGTGACTGCAGGATCAGTGTCCAGTGAACAGGCTAAGGTGATCATCATCTTACACCGATACATGGTTTTCATCTAGCAAAAGCCATGCAGCCAGGTAGAAGAGGCATGCCCTTGGAGCTGGGAATCCCTAAGGACAGATGGAAATTCTACTGTCTACTAGCTATGACCCTGGGCAGCTGATTTAATGTCCCAAGAGCTTCAGTTTCTTCTTGGAAATAGGAATCATACAACCTCTGTCCTAGGAATGGATAGAGCAGAACATATAAAAAGCCTCCCTGAAAGCATGCTGGGGAAGTGGCTCGGTGGTAGGGTTATTGCCTGTAGCATACAAGACTGTAGGTTCAATTCCCAGTGCCACCCCAAAAGAACCTCCCTGGTGCCTTTCCTGGAATGGCAGTGTGGTTTGGCCTATTTCCTTTTTTCCTGTTGACCTTTCCCCTTCCTCCTGAGGAAGGAAATCCTCAAACTGCTCAGGCTCCTGCCCAGCTTCCATGGGGGCAGTGGGCACTTCTGACTTCTGGATCAAGCCAGGATGCTTTCCGCTTTCCAGATGACAGTTGAGCTATGGACCTTGGGGACATCACCCAGACAGGTGAGACATGTGAGGAGTTTGCTAAGTCGGAATGAGGGCTACTTCTAGGAAGGCTTCCTCTACTTTTTAATAAGATATGAATCTAAAGAGCCACACATGGTGTCTGTGGTGATTTGAATGAGAATGTCCCCCATAGACTCCAAGTATTTGAGCATTTTGTCCCCACTTGGTGCTGCTGTTTTGGGAGGTCTTAGAAGGTATGGCCATGCTGGAGGAAGCACATCACTGGGGGCAGGCTTACAGAGTTCTTAAGCCTTGCTGGATCTCCAGTCACTCTGTTTCCTGTGCCTACTTGAAGATGTGAGCACTTAGCTTCTGCTCCTTCTCCAGCCACCTCTGCTGCCATGCCTCCCCACCATGATGGATTCTTGCACCTTTGGAGCCGTAAACTCACCTTTGGAGAGTTTATTTAAAACTCTTCCTTTTCTGAAATTCCCTTGCTCATGGTGTTTCTATCATATCAACAGAAAAATAACTAATACAGTGCCATACACCTGTAATCCCAGATTTCTGGAGGCTAAAGCAAAAATATTATGAATTCAAGGCCAGCTCGGGCTACAATAGGGAGACCATGTCCTCTGACAAATTTCTTCTGGCTATTCTCAACACCCAGTTACTACTTTAAGACAAGACTTTTCCTTTATTGTTACAAGTGGTATTTATGTCACCTACTGACTAAGGTTTGGGTCTGGGCAACTATTGTGAGCCATGACAGTGATTTCTCCCTTCTGAGTTTTGCTAGGCTAGCCAGGGCTTGTCAGCCCAGTGCTGGCTCCCCCGATGTCTTTCTGAGAGTCATAAAGGCTGCACAGGCCACAGCCCTGTGTACAGGCATGCCCTCCACAGGTTACTTTGCTTTTAGTTCTTTTTTTTTTTTTGTTTTTTTTTTTTTTTTTTTTTTTTTTTCTTTTTGAGACAGGGTCTCCCGGCAGCCCTAGCTGGCCTCAAATTCACAGAGATCCACATGCCTCTGCCTCCCAAGTGCTGGGATCAAAGGCATATGCCACCTGGCCCAGCTATGATAAAACTTTTTTTTTTTAATTAAATGCCTGTTTTATGCACTTAATTATTTTTTTAAATATTTTATTTACTATTTTTATTTTACGTGTATGAGTATTATGCCTGCATGTAGGTAAGTGCACCCGTGTCGTGCAATGCCCGCCGTGGACAGAAGAGGCTGTTGGATCCCCTGGAACTGGAGTTACCGACAGTTGTTAGCTGCCATGTGGGTGCTGGGATTCGAACCCGGGTCTTCTGCAAGAACAGTGAGTGTTCTTAACCACTGAGCCATCTCTCCAGCCCATGATAAAACTTTTATATACATTAAAAGCACAAATCCGCACGCCTGTCAAGAAAAGAGGCAATCCTCCATTCCCTCCAAAATGAGTTTATATATTCTGATAGCAGACATGAAACTCTTTCTGTAAAGTGAAATCTCACTGAGGCCTAGTTGTAGGTTCAAAGGAAAATATTTAACAAAAGAGCCCCATTCCTCCCATGGGTGAACATCAGCTCAAAGAGAGGGGTTTCTTTTGTTTTCTTTTAGTTGTGTTTTGAGGCCCTGATCTTCCTTAGAACTTCCCAAGAAACTTTGAGGATGGCACATCTGGCTGAAAACTTGCTTTATGTGAAGGGACACCAGGTGTTTAGCTCTCTTGTCATGCCAACAGTAACTCCTGTTTGGGAAGATGCCTTCACTAAAAACATGAACAAAATCTATGCCAGCTAGAGCTCGCTTGGGGTGAACACATTCACTTACATTGAACAGTCTCCTACAAGCACCAGTGATTGCTCTAACCAGCAGTCCTGCTGTCTAGCTACGTTCATGTATTATGTTCTATTTTTAGAAATGGAGTTGATGAGTCCACCCCAGTGTGGAATGAAACTATGAGAAGCATTTTAAATGGATCTGGCTCGCTAGCAACTTCATAGCTAAGTTAGGAGTGGCCATACACTCAAGACTCACTTGTTGTAACAGACTTTATTCACAGTGTAGCTAGCTCTTCCATGGTAGAACGACTGCCCTAGTTACCTAGCTCCATTTGACTAGTTTAGCACTGTGATATTTAAATGCTGATTTTCCCACCCCGTCAGCCATTCTTCTTACATTCTGCCTTTGCTCTCTTGTTATGGGCTCATCTGTTCAACTAATTCAACAGACTTTATTTCTAGCACTTGGGATCGGATTCAGGGCCTCACGCATGGTAGGCAAGCACTCTACCACTGAGCTACATTCCCTAGTGATTTCTTTCACTAGGAAGAGAATGTTTTGATTCTCAACAAGACTTATTCTCATGTGAGAATGATTCCTTCCCCTGGGACTATTTAGCAATGTCTGGTGACATTCTATGCTGTCTCAACTGAGGAGATGTTGTTGCATCTTGTAGGTAAGGCTAGGAAGCTACCATATAACCTATAACGACAGGACAACACACAGCACCATAAACATTTGTCCAGTCTCAGAAGTCAGTGGTGCTGAGCTGAGAAGCCCTGAGCTATGCTGACTGGCTGCTGGGACAGCGCAGACTTTGAGGCACCGTGGATCCACTGAGAATCCTCCATTTGGCATCTCAGAACTGGGGGAATTACTTAACATCCATGTGACCTTGGGCAAATACACTCGCAAGGTCTTAGAACTTCACCATGACCATCTGAAAAATGGGGACCAATAGGGTTGTTATAAAGGCGAGCTGAGCTGAATGTTGACAGTGTGGTGCAGTGACTGGCCCATGACAGGCATGCAGCACACAATAGCTAAGATTATGACCAAGCTATTGTTTTCTGTTCTACTTTCTTAATCATACAACAAACTCTTTCCACTATTTCCTGTTACACCTCTCTCCTCCGGGTCCCCATTTATTTATTTATTTATTTATTTATTTATTATTTAACGTGTATGAATACATTGCCTGCATGTATGTAAGTGTATCATGTCTGTTCAACGTCCACAAAGGCCAGAAGAGGGCATTGGATCCCCTCGAACTGGAGTTAGGGATAGTTGCTAGCTGCCATGTGGGTGCTAGGAACTGAACCCCGTCCTCTGCAAGAACAGTGAATGCTCTTAACTGCTGAGCCAACTCTCCAGCCCCCTCATGCATTTTTTAATACTGTTTCCTATTCTCTGTTCCCTCTGACTCTTTGTAGCATATATAATACATAAAAATGGTAACTAGTCTAGTCAACTTATGTTTTCAAATCACATTAATGTCTAATAATTTTTAAAAAATCACCTGCCATTAACATATCTAAAGACACTATTTTTTAGTATTTTATTTTTATTATTTTTATTTTATTTTATGTCTCTGAGTGTATTACCTGAATACATGTAAGTGCACCCATGTTGTGCAGTGCCCCCAGAGGTCAGAAGAGAGCATTGTTTTCTGCCATGTGGGCGCTGGGAATCAAACCTGGGTCCTCTGTAAGAGCAGTCAGTGCTCTTAACCACTGAGTCATCTCTCCAGCCCCAAGACACTAAATTTTTTATGTAACATACATTTTAGTCACAAAGATCTGTCCAAAGCACTGTGAATCCTTCTTATGATGATGGAGGAGATGAACCATTTCTTCAAGACAACCAATTTACATCCCCTTGGAGCTAGGAGTTCTACAGATTGCTGGCACTATTTACCAAGCACTATTCACCTACAGACTGTGCTGCAGAGGCACAGAGGACCGATTTTCATTTGTACCTGAGCTGCTGCACCTCGCTCTGTGTTCCACAGGATCCGAGAAGGGATATTTAAAAAGTATTAATTAATTTATTCTTATTTTATGTATATGAGTGTATTGCCTAGATGTATGTAAGTGCACCCATGCTGTACAATGCCCACAGAGGACAGAAGAGGGCATCAGATCACCTGGAACTGGAGTTAAGGACGGTTGTTAGCTGCCATGGGGGTGCTGGGAATCGAACCTGAGTCCTCTGCAAGAGCAGCCAGTGCTGCTGAGCCACTTCTCCAGCCTCCAGTATCAATTTTAATAGAAAGTAAAATGACAATAAGACCCAATTCCTCTCCACTGCCAGCAAACCTCTAAAATCTTTTTCCATGTTATATAGCTCTTCTTGGTAGGCTACCAGCTTATAGCTGCTGAAGACATCTGTATAACTTTTGGAAGGGCAACTTGCCTTTTCTACACCGAGTATCTTCAAAGTGTGTTTTACTGAAGATGCAGCAATTCCACCAATGGATGTGCTCACCAGAGTGCAATAGGGAGCTATTAGGTAAAGCCACCCAAATTCAGCAACAGGGGACTGAAAATTACGAACCCATCACAGATGGACCACCACATGAGCACTAACAATATGTTCTCCACAGTTATCACAGGAGATGCTCATGATCACACACTAAGTGACAAAAGCAGAACACCAGACCAATCATGTCATGAGTCCATTTAAAAGATGTAGTCTTGGGTTGGAGAAATGACTCAGTAGTTAAAAGCACTGGCTGCTCTTGCAGAAGACCTGAGTTCAATTCCCAGCACCCATGTTGGCTCACAACCACCTGTAACTCTGCCTCCAGGAGATCCAACACCCTCTTCTGAACTCTGTGGGCATCTGCACTCACACACCAACACACATATACATGTAATTAAAAATAAAATATGGGGCCGGGCGTGGTGGCACATGCCTTTAATCCCAGCACTCGGGAAGCAGAGGCAGGTGGATCTCTGTGAGTTCAAGACCAGCCTGGTCTCCATAGTGAATCCAGGTCAGCTAGGGCTACAGGGAGACCCTGTCTCAAAAGAAAAAAAAAACAACAATCTTTTAAAAGAATATACAGTAGATAACTAAAAATTATAAGAGACAAATTCATTGAAAACAGTGTCTTCCTGATTACATTCTTCTTTCATTCCTTAGATTTATATTAATTTATTATTGGGTTTTTTTTTGGTTGGTTGGTTTTCTTAGACAGGGGCTCCCTGGAACTTACTATGTAGACCAGGCTACCCTCAGTTTCACAGAGATCCAGTTGCCTCTGCCTGGGATTAAAGGCATGCAACACCCTGCCCAGCTTGCTTTTATTATTGGAAAACAGACATTTCGATGCTAACTTACTCATTTTGACCCATGACTCCATTCATTCTCTACACAGCCATGGGGGTCAGGAATTCAGCCTTAGGATCCAACGAAACTGTGCTTAGGATGACCAGTCCAACCATGATGAACATCCAAAGGAGTCTGGGGACTTGTGTCAGCTGGTAACAACGTCCCTAGCTAGCCCCCTCTATGTTTTTCCCGGACCCTACGACTAACTCCCTCCCTCCCTCCCCAATTTCCAGAAAATCACATACATGTCACTCCACTCTCCTTGTTATGAAGTGACTTTTACCTATGATGAATTAAGGAACTATCAGAAAAATCCTAATAAATGAGGGCTTGGAACCTTGCTGCCAAAACCCACCTGGGACTTGTACAACTAAATCTTCCAGCACAATGCAGGGCTCTGAAGAGCCTGCTGTGCATCTAAGGAACATGGCCAGTGGCAGTATTCTTTTCTGAGCACCACTTATACCAAGGGTGGGAGCAGCTAGGTTGTAAAAGCTCCCCCCAGGAGCCACTGTCTGTTTCCTGAGCTATCTTCCTTCCTTCCACTCCCCTGGCCAGTCCTGGCCTGACTTCACAGAACAGAGGAGTTGAGGGAGGTACGAGGCTTCTATCTGGATCCACCAGTCAAGGTAGGGCCAAGACCAAAGCAAGACATGGCAGGCACATGGCAGGGAGAGGGCAGCTGAGTCTGAAGCCCTGGGACTCAGTTCCTACTCTGACATCCCACTCTACTCAGCTCTTGTTTCATCTGTAAAACAAGAATTAGAGGTTTCTAGGCATGTTTGCTAAAGCAATGGGCCTTCTTTTTTAAAAAAAATAAAATCATGGGACTAGAGAGATGGCTCAGTGGTTAAGAGCACTGGCCGCTCTTACAGAGGACCTGGGTTCAGTTCCCAGCACCCACATAGTGACTGACAACCATCTGTAACTCCAGTTCCAAGGATCTGAAGCCTTCTTCTGGTCTCTGTGGGCACTGCACACACATGGTGCACTTATATACATGTAGGCAAAACACTGATATATATATATATATATATATAAATTTTTTAATTAAAATGAAAAAAAGAAAATCACAGTCATATCACTTAACAATAAGGTTGCATCCTAAGCACTGTTTCATTTGATGATTTTGTTCTTATGCAAACACCATAGAGTATACTGACATAAAACTTAGGCATTAGACCTACTACACATATAGGTTACATGATACATACCATCACATATACAGTCCATCATGGACCAGAACTTCGTGTGTGCACTTCACTACAAATGCAATACAGATAAATACAAGCAGAAGTGCTCCAGCTAAGGAGATGAAGGCGAAGCAGAACCCAGCTTGCTCACCCACCTCAAGAAGAGGCTTCCAGAGCTTCCCTAAGGAGCCAAGATCATTTGAAGTGGATGGAGCAGAGATCCCTCACTCTGCAATCCTCCAACTCTCTGAGGCAAGCTTACCGGTCGATGGCAATGACTCCAAGAGTGAGCATACTGGCTGAGCTGATCAGCAGGTAGAGGAGGGCAGAGAAGTTGCACCAGACCACGCCAAAGATCCATTCCCTCCGGATGGAGCTAGTCACCACGAACGGTAGCACCAGCACGGACAGCAGGAAGTTGGACAGGGTCAGGCTGAAGACAAACTTGTTGCTGAGAGTAAGGAGGTAGGACTTCTTGTACAAAGTGACCACAATAACCAGGTTGCCCAGGCAGACAAACACGGTGATGATGATGATGGCGATGAACTCGGTGACAACGGCGCCCCCTTCACCACCCTCCACAGCAGTGAGGTTGCTCAGCTCTTTCCTGTAGCCGAGGGAGGAGTTGAGGTTCATGGTCAGTGGACCTCAGGATACGGTGAGCAAAGCATGCTGGACAACTGCAGAAACAAGGAGACCCAGAGGTGGAAAAGACTCATCAGATCACATCACCTCCACTTTGGGAAAGAAGGAGCTGAGGTTTAGTGAGGGTACTTGCCGCACATTACCCAACTGGTCTGGAGACTCTTCACCAGGCTTTCCCATGAAAGTTCTATAGAATTAGCCTACGTTCTATAATTTCTACTGTGTAAAATTGTGTGAATGACTATTCCCTCAGACTAAACCCCTGCAATAGTCTCTGGAATGTCTCCCAAAGACCCATCTGTCAATGCTTTAGTCCAGAGCTTGGCACCAACTTGGGAGTGGGGGAAAGTGGAGCCTTTAGGAGACGAGAACTGATGAGAGATTTTTGTCACTGGCAGATGTACTCCTTAAAGAAGATTATGGGATCCTGGTCCTTTCCTCTTTCAACTCTTTGCTGACTGGCTGCCAAAAGGGATGCAGCTCAGCTCTACCATGTGCTCCTATCATGACATGTTGCTTGCCACAGGCCCAAAAGCAATGCGGTTAACTGACCCTATTTGGACTAAAACCTCTAAAGCTTTGAGTCAAAATAAACTTTTCCCCTAAAAAAAAAAACAAAGCTATTTCTCAGCTCAAGCAGATAAACCCCAGCAAAGAACTGTGGAAATAGGTAACAGGCTCCCAATCTCGATCATTGGCAGCTGATTACTGCTGGCTGAGGAAGAGCTGATCTTCTTAAAGGAAGGGACTCTAGATAAGCTGCCTAGACCCCAGGGAATGAATTTTCACTGAAGGACATCTGGGGACACTACCTTGACTTGATAGGCCTTAACAGAAGTGACAGAAAGTATGGATTCCGGCGGGGGGAGGGGAGCAGGGCTACGGGAGGGTACCAGTGGGGGAGGAGGGTATAAAGATGATTAAGACTGATTAAGATGTTCTATATGAAATACACAAAAATTCAATAAAAAAATTTTAAAAAATTTATTTCTCATGTAAATTGAAGCCAGAGCCCAGCAAATGCTAGGCAAGCAATCAACCATTGAACTATACCCCAACCCAAGTCTACACTTTAAACAAGCAGACAGGAGCAGGTAGCTTGTCCCAAGTGTTCTAGGGGGACACCTTGCTGATTGCTGCTTTAGACCCTTGCTCCTTAGGGTGGCTTCTCAGCCAGCAAAATCATCATTACCTGGGAACTCATTCATAAGAGCTATAGGCCACCCTGAGTTAAGGAATCAAAATCTGCACTTTAACCCCATTTCAGTGGATTTGTATTATACATTAAAGTTTGTCAGTAAGATTATTGTAGGAATCATTCCGGGTTCCCTGAGCAGGTTCCCTGAGTATAGGTCACTCTGAAACATGGTTATTGCTCTTATCAGACAGAGTGAGGGAGGTAACGATGCTCTCACTAACTGTAGATGGGGACATGGTGGCGTCATCTTGGTCCATAGATAACACTGTCTATAAGGTACAATCATTGCTCTCAGGAAACTGGCTCAGGATTTTGGCTAAAGTTCAAGGCTGACACATTTTAACATAAAATCCTGCAGACTAAAGTGTTTCTCCAAAACTTTTCATCTACTTTAATCAGCCAAAAACTTCCACAGATCCCTTCCCATTCTCCACCAATAGAAAAAACCATGGAGAAGGGACACAGCTTTTTGTGAGGGAGCCAAGGACCCCTGTGCCTAAGTTACCCCAGCATAACAGCAGGACAGTCCCCTCACCCTCCATGCCCAGGCACCTTTGCCACAGGGAGCAGCCCTTCCCCTCTCAACAGTCCTAGGGCCTGCTGGAAAGGTGCCCCTCAGCCAAGCTGTCTGGAGCAGGATTGGGTCATGCAAGCCCCTCAACCCCTGGATAGCCTTCCCTCTCCAGATTAACCTTTCCAACTCCCAACCATTTGTCACCATGGTGACTAAAGGCTTTGTTGAGCCAGCCTCCCTTTAGTGCTGACTCAAAGATGTCAATGGCCCTCCTGATCTGAGGGAGGAGGGGGTCTCTCAAGCTGAACATACCATTCTGCATACTGTCTAGCCAATGTCAGGTGCAAAGGAGCAACTGTATTCATGACCAGGACCAATTATCTTCCAATATTCACTCTAAGAATACGTTCTTCTTGCAGCAATTATATCACCCTGTTGAGTTTATATAAGTATGTGGTCAACTAACACCCAAAGCTTATAATACAGGAACTTCTGTGAAGGCAGATGTCCCCAGTCTTGAACATACGGAGTTAATGTTTCTAAGCCTTAGTACAAAACATTATTTTTACTAAAGTTTGCTTTGTGCATGACTACATTTCCAGGTTGTTAAAATATTCTGAATTTTGATTCAGTTATACAACTTCATAGTTCTTCCAGCTTTGTGTCATGAATATGCTTTGTAGGTGTGTCGACTATGTCTTTGCAATGCTCTTTAGGGTTTTTGTCTTTAGTTGTCAAGTTCTAGATTTTGTTGCCTTTCATAAGTATATTATTACTTAGTATATCAAAATAAAACTGTCACATAAGCATATCATTCTTAAATAACTGTGCTAGCAGTAAGAAAACAGACTTGGCCGGGCATGGTGGTGCACACCTCTAATCCCAGCACTTGGGAAGCAGAGGCAGGCAGATCTTTGTGAGTTCAAGGCCAGCCTGGTCTACATAGTGAGTTCCAGGACAGCTGGGGCTACAAGGAAACCCTGTCTCAAAAAAGACAAAAAAAAAGAAAAAAAAGAAAAGAAAACAGATACACACACACACACACACACACACACACACACACACACACACACACCTGTAATTGTAGCACTCAGGAGGTAGAGGCAGGAGGACCTGTTGGAAAGTCCAAGGACAGCCTGGCCTACACGGCCAGGAACAGACTTTGAATCATGAGCCAAATGTTAACGGGAGAAAATATTTACAACTTTATCACAGATAAAGAATCAATCATTTGCATTTATAAACAATTCTTTTTAAAAATATTTAATTCCTTCCTCTGTGTGCGTGCGTGCGTGTGTGTATGTGTGTGTGTGTGTGTGTGTGTGTGTGTGTGTGTGTGTGTATGTGTGTGTGTGTTTGTGTGCACGCGCTCGGTTGTGGGTGCCCACAGATGCCAGAAGAGGGTCAGATCCCCTGAAGCTGAACTTACAGATGGTTGTGAACCACTCAACTTAGGTGCTGGGAACTGAATTCCAGTCCTCTACAAAAGCAGTAAGTGCTCTTAACTGCTGAGTCATCACTCCAACCCCAACAATTCCTTTGAAAGAAAAAGGATAAAACAAGAAAAATGGATAAAACATGTACAAAAAAAAAAAAACTACAAGAAAATGCAGACCAAAAGTCTATGAAAAACTGCTCAATTTCACTCAAAATCAGAGAATTAAAATATACTGAGATATCATGGATTTTTTTGTTTTTGTTTTTCTTTCAGACAAGGAAACAATTTAAATTTTGGCAACATTCTTCAAACACTCTCTAACAAAAAAACTCCTGTCTAATAGCACAGCCCAGTGGACATAATGTCTAACAAAATGAACTATTTATGCACCTGGAGACCCGAAAACGCAGGTCCGATATGAAGTACCAGACTGCTGCATTGTTTTATTCGCTAAAACAATTAATTGTTAAGAATAAAGAAGGGAAATAAATGAGATGTTGAAGTGTGAACAGAGATGCATATACACATATGTTTACCCAAAAAGAAAGATAAGAAAGGTAAAAAAGTCAAGAGACAGGTATGATGGCACAAACCTTTAATCTCAGCATTTGGGAGGCAGAGGCAGATGCAGGCAGATCTCTGTGAATTCAAGACTAGCCTGGTTTACATATCAAGTTCTAGTTAAGACTACATAGTAACAGCCTATCTCAAAAATCAATTAATTAATCAATTAATTACATAAATAAATAAATAAATAAATAATAAGACATGGGAGGGGCTAGAGAGATGCAGGCCAAACACTCATACACATAAAATAAAAATGAAGAAAGACATGGGAGGAAAAATATTTTGAACTTTGGGCCATGTAAAGATTTTACATAGCAAAAAGAAATCAAAATGGATGCAAGAAGTAAATCTAAGAGTTATTGGGGAAAGAAAAAATTAAACCTAATATATTAAAAACATATTCACACAGAGAAAAGAGCTTTTAAATCAAGCAGCTTTTAAACACAGTATTTTGACTGCACCCTCAATGGTGGATATTACACAAACAAGAATCAAGTTTACTCAGATGTTGGTAATAGAGTTGGAATTTTCCAACTACTTAAGAGTCTAGAGCAAGAAAACACAAGCTTCTTCCTGAGGCAGAAGAGAGATCAATTTAAACAAGGAGGTAAGGGGACATCCTGTGGTGTTAGATGGTGTCAACTGGATAACTGGTATGAACTCACTATCCATATATAAGCATAAAAGCGGGACCCTAGAATTCCCTACTATACTGAGAAAAATTAGGAAATTTACATATAATTAAAAGACAAATGAGAAAATGAATGAAAAGTACTGTGGTGATGAGAGAAGTGTCCCTATAGGCTCAAGTATTTGAACACTTGGTATATGGTCCCCAGTGGGTGGTGCTGTTTAGGACAGACATAGAATCCCTAGGATGTGCAGCCTTGCTGAAGAAGCATGGCATTGGGGCCTGGCTTTGGAAGTTCATAGCCTTGTCCCACCTCTCTCCCTGCTTCCTGAGTGATTAAATATGTGACTGCTCAGTCCTGCTCTGGCTGCCCCTACTGCCATGCCTCCCCGCCATGTTCGACTCTTATTCCTCTGGAATTGTAAATCAAATAAACTCTTCTGTCTACAAATTGCCTTGGTCATGGTGTTTTATCACAGCAACAGAAAAGCAACTAAACAAGATATGACTACTTTGCCTAAGAAAAGCATAGTAGCTTTTACTTACTATGACATTCTTTTCTGGCAACATGACTTAGTTGATGTGAACATCTTTCCTATTCCAAATGCATACAAATGTTAAATATGACCAAAACCTTAAAAAAAGAAAAAAAGGTTAATTGAAAAAAGAAAAGGAAATATATGCATCATAATGGTCTTAGAAATAGTTCAAGATGGATTTGGGACTCACAAGGCAGGGCACCAAAAATTTTTCCATAAGAAATCAGACACTGAAACACACGCCCTGCTGATGAAGGTTCCAATTTATACAATTCTCATGGTGCAGAAATCCAAGTTCATAAATCCATATACAAGTTAAGGAAAAGGTAGCCAGGCGTGGTAGCTCACACCTTTAATCCCAGCCTTGGAAGGCAGAGGCAGGATCTCTGTGAGTTCAAGGCCAGCCTGGTCTACATAGTGAGTTCCAGGACAGCTGGGGCTACAGGGAGACCATGTCTCAAAAAGACCAAAAGAAAACCCTGATGAAAATAAAAACAAGAAAATTGACATTCCAAGAACTTAAACTGATAGAAAAGATGACTAGAATAACATAAATATAATCAAGGTCTGAAAGGGGAAAGAAAGCAGAGAGAATAGAGAAATAACAAGGTATCATGAGAAAGCCGGGTGGAGTGTCATACACTTGTAATCCCAGGCTGAGGCAAAAGGATCTCGCCTGCATAGTGAGATCTTAGGGAGAGAAAGAGGGTAAGGGGAAAAGATACCCAACTAATATGCAGTTGTTCAAAATAAACAGAACTTCTTGAATTTAAAATTTTAGATATCAAAAGTCCATGGACACGTTGGGGCTGAAGAGATGGCTCGGCAGTCAAGAGCACTGGCTACTCTTGCAGAGGACCCAGGTTTGGTCCCCAGTACCCATATGGGAGTTAACAACTGTCCGTAACTCTGGTTCCACAGATTCCAGTGCCCTCTTCTGGCCTCCATGGGCATTGCACACACATGGTGCATTCACATGCATGCAGGCAAAATACTCATACACAGTAAACAAATAATAAAGTCAATGGATATGTTAAGTGGCAGATTTAGCTACAGAGAAAGGCAGTGAACTGGAAAAAAAGGTTTGAGGAAATTACTCAGAATGTAATCAGAGTGAAATTAAAAATATGAAATAAAACTCAAGACAGGAAGGAGGATAAGAGCCAACATACATTCCAGAGGGGTAACAGAGAGGTTAGAAGAAGAGGAGTAGGAAACACTGTGGAAAGCCCACTGGAAAAGTAATCTCAGTTTTTTCTTACTAAAAGATCTCTGACTTTGTTCTGGTAAACTCCTCCAAGAAAGCTGATCCTATCACTAGTCCTGAGATGAAGATGCTGATGGCTATAAGACAATTATTCTATTTCCTTTCTCCCTACAGTTCACACAAGGAAATATCTATGGTGAGGAAGAGGGTAAAAATTCATGGGAAAAAAAAATCTACCAGGAAGAAACAAATCACTCTAATGATCTTAATGGTGAAGAAGGGAACTGGAGCCGTGGCAGCCATCTTGGGACCATTGGTGTCCTAGGCTAACATGCTAAATAAGCCCATCCTGGGTCTTTGACTAACAAGCTACTAAATCCTACAGTTAACTTTATCCTAGTCTTTTGTTATGGGATACAATACATTTTCGAACACATAAAATTATTATTTTTAAGTTATTTTGAATAGAGTTTCTATTGCTTGAGTCAAGACATCCAACTGACATCCAACTGACATTAGATTGGACCTGCGCTATCTACACTGCTGGTCATACAGAATTCAGAAGCACAGGTCCTCAAATTGAAAGTGTATCTAGTTCTAAGAGCAAATCATAAAAAAAAAAAAAATCTGTACCAAGATAAATCAAGTACTAGGGAAAAGAACACTGGCCTCAGAGCTCTATACTGTCATTAGAAAGAGAATGAAACATACCTTTGAGACAGAGCTCCCCTGAATGCTCACTAATGACTCCTCATGAAGAGAACTGAATCCAGACATAAGGGGTAGGATGCAGAAGTAACTATAAGAAAGGAAATAGGTAGAAAAGTCTAAATAAGAACTGTAAACCATAAAATTTACTACAAAAATGACTAATTTAGAAGCTTTAAAAACAAGAAAAAATGGGGGCTGGAGAGATGGCTCAGCGGTTAAGAACACTGACTGTTCTTGCAGAAGACACGGGTTCAAATCCCAGCACCCACATGGCAGCTAACAACTGTCCAGTTCCAGGGGATCCAACAGTCTCTTCTGTCCTCCATGGGCACTGCATGATGCGAGTACACTTACCTACATGCAAGCAATGCATGCATACACAGAAAATAAAAATAATAAATACTAAAAAAAAAAAACAAGAAAAAATGAAAACACCAAATAGGAGCTTCTTTATAATTTTAGTTGACAGCGATTATATAGTCATAGGATGCATTTTTGTACATTATAGGATGAATAAATAAGCTTAATTAGCATATTCAATACCTGACGTACTTCTTCACTCCCATGAGATGAAAAATTAATCTACACTTAGCAATTTTGAAACATATGTCACGACTATAATCATCCTGTATAAAGGATCTCAAATATGTACTCCACGAACTGGCAGAGATGGCTCAGCAGTTAAGAGCACTGGCTGCTTTTGCAGAGGACACCGGTTCAGTTCCCAGCATTCACATGGCAGCTAACAACTGCCCCCAACTCCAGTTCCAAGAGATCTGACTGCCCTCTCTGGCCTCCATGGGCATTATACAATACCAGTGCACTTACATGCAGGCAAAACACTCATACACATAAAAATAAAATAAATAAGTACTTTTTAAATGTACTCCTCCTGCATGACTGAACATGGAAATTCTTAAGGATGTGACTGGAGTGAAAATATAACAAATTAGTAAGTCTTCAGGGCAAAGACTTTGGTTATGGCTGCATTCCTAGCATCTGGTCAGGTGCCTGCTACACAGTAGGCAACTGAATAATTATTTGCTGTGAATGACTTTAATACTTTGTCATTGTTGAGTCAGTAAGAGAGTTATCATCATAAAGGCAGCCCCTTAGAGAATAAAAATGGGACAAAGGAAACATAGTACTGTGGCCTTGTTAGCAGGCCAGTCAGTGAGTGAACTGCAGAACACAGGAGCTGCAGTTGGTAGTCATCTTGAGGGCTCCTGTTCCAACCCTCCCCAGGATACAGGGAGGGACATAAAACAAACAGCTTCCTCCCAGGGAAATCCAAAGTCCCATTCTCTGCCAGAAGGCCTGGAGTGGGCAAGCGCAGACCTCAGCAAATCCCTCAGAGCTGGAGCTTTAAAGAACAAGAGAGAATTTGAAAGGCCCCAGCTAGTGCAGGCTTCCTGGCTAACAGCCAGCTTACCCAGGGGCCTGACAAGCCAGGGCCCATTGAATAGAAGCAAATTCCAGTGTGACTCACATTTCCACTCTCCTGAGCAACTCTGCTGCAGACTCAAAGGTGTTTCTGAACTCCCACACCGCCTGACCCAACACCCCACCTCCTACTCTCTCTGAAACACAGCTAAACAGTAACACAATTGAGGTAGTAAATGCTCATAAGCAATTAACCCTGAAAGAAACCCCTCCAACATGTCCCAGGGAAGCTGGACAGCTACTCACTTTACCTTTAAGGCCATAGCTCCAAGGATGTCCCTCCTCTTTGGGAACTGCCTTTAGTCTAGGTGGACATTCCCAAAGACAGTAAATCCTCTGCTGGATTAGACTACTGATAACAGTCTCAAGTTATCCAAAGCCAAGCTTTTTTTACTCAAGAGCAATCAACATCCATTTTGGATTAAAAAACAAGACAGCAGAGAGAGATGATATCTATTGAGTTCTACAAACCAGTTTGCACGGTGATTCCTAAAAAAACAATTCAAGAAGAGCATTGACTTAGGAGGACAGATTAACTCAGAGCAGCCTCTGTCTTTTACTGGACTGTGATTTGGATATTCTGTGATCTCGCCTCACATCCTTCCCTAGAATTCTGATTATGACTGACTTGTAGTGGATATTTCCAGCTTTTATTACTGCTGCCTGCATTAGTAGGGAAGACAGGGGCATCATGGCTAAGACTACACCTCTGACATCACTCTGCCTGGGTTAAATAAAGCCCAGCCCCTCCACTCTTTAGCTCCATGACTCTAGGTAAATTCACTGACTACTGTTTCCTTGTCTGTGAAATGAATTTTATCTTCTACATAGAGGCACTGTGAAGAGTGAGTCTATTTGTGTCTGGCACCTAAACAGCATCTTACACAAGTGTGCCTTCACTGCCTCTAGTGGTGCCATTTGAAGAGTTTACCCTGGAAACAACCTTTCCTTTATTTTTCTCAATTTGGCAAAACTAACACCATTTCCAGTTCTAGGAGTCAGTTCTTGACCTAGGGTGAACCAGATGTTCACAGCAACTGGCCTAGGAATGGTCACAGGACCCTGGCTCAGGATTTTGGCTGGAAGTGTTAAGAGGACAAACTAGTCAATCAAAGGCTGTAGTCTGGCAAAACAAGAGCCTGGGTTTGTAGCAGATGGCCACCGTTGACACTGTGGTGAGAGAGTGAGAGTGAGAGAGTGAGAGTGTACTGTGTGCTGTACTAGGAAAAGGAACGAGGTACCAGTTAACCCAACTACAAATGCTCATAGAAGATCCTGAGATTCTAAACTCTTGTTTTTCTCAGTTTTATACCCCAAATCTCTCTCTCCCTCCCTCTCTCTCTCTCTCTCTCTCTCTCTCTCTCTCTCTCTCATATTCTGGCACATCGTGTTCTGCATTCAACATAGCAAGACTACACGCCTCTTTGTCAATTTTACACCAACTTCTCAGACTGCTGCTGCCTTAGCTGCCTTTTTGAAACTTCTTATCCTTTTCATCTTGGATCCATGAACTGCATTCATATAGAAGTGAAGAAAAGTTGTTCACCCTCAGAGCACCTCAGAGTCAGAAGTCTCAGTCAACAAGCACTGTGAGGCAAAGTGGCCTCCCTACTTCCATAATGCCCCTTACAAACAGGGCCACTACGGGTGCCTGAGAGCCTGCAAAGAAGTGGGCACCATGACGATGAAGGAGGCAGGGCTCCTAATGTGTCTCTAACAAGGGATCACTGGACAGGACAAGACATGCCAGTCCTTGCTGGAGTTCAGCTCATAAGTTCCTTTTGGCATAAAGTTATTTTCTGATAACCTTCAATTCTCCTGAGGGTGGCCATAGCTCAGTTTCCTGGTGCTATCTCCTTCTGAGAGCCGACCATACCCTTCATTCCTACCCCACACATCCTGCAACCCATTTTCAGGAAGAGCTGACCAACCTGCAAAGCTAGGACCACAAATGCCATCTTCTAAGGGAACCAAATACAAACAAATAAATATATGAGATGCTCAAATAGCCCTTCAGGAGAGGAAGTATTTCAAGCATCACTTCAAACAAGCCCCAATGAGGTGGCCGTGCTATTCTGGCCATATTTTCAGAATCCTTCATCTGTGTACCTCAAAGCACTTTATATACATCAATCAGTAGCTGGGGCTGGGAGGAGTTGGGGAGAAGTTCTAATAACCACCTTGCTCTGTACTTTAGATAACTGAAATGAGTGTGAACCCCCACTCCAATCCCACCCACAAACCAGGCCACACAGCTTGCTGGGAGCCAGAAAAGGGCTCAGAGTCCCCAGGTCTCCATATCTATGTGCCTAAAGAGCTCTCTCTGCAGTCCCCTCTTTCATCCTCCTTGGGCAGTCACATGAAAATTGGCCCAAAGATGGCAGGTGCAGGGACTTATCCTCTGCTACCCCAGGTGGGTGTGCCCACCCAGCCTTCCCAGAGTTGGCTATAATGTACAGCGCTTTGCTCTTCTCCCCACCAGGCGCCACGAACCAGTCATGTGCCTGTTCAGAACCTCTCAGCATGTGAAATGGGCCTGAGCTCTGGTCTGTTTGGGAGTGAATCAAGGAAGGAAAAGACAACTAGCATGCAAACCCACATGACCGTGTGGTCTCTTTCTAAATTCTTAATTCGTTTGCTAGGCAGAGAAATGTGGCTTTGGTGCTCTGAGCACAAACACCCTCAGTGTCCCCTTCTTAGCATCCTTCAGCAACTGGGGCTGGAAGTCTGTACTTCAGGGTGCTTTCTGACACTGTGACCCTGTTCACAAGAGTTAAAGCAAGCATGTCTGTTCAATGTCTTTCCAAATCCAAGCTCTTGACATGTTACTTAACCTCTCTGAGCATCAGTTTCCCATCTGTAAAACAGAGATAATAAGAGAGTACCTCTTATAAGATTGGTGGGAGGAATCAGTGAGTCAGTATTTGTACAGTTCTTAAAATAGTGCCTGGTTCTATGAAGTAAAGCAAGAAATAGGTTTAGAAAGGTTAAGTGGCTAGTTCAAAGTAACGGTAAGTATTAGTTGGTCCCGTGGCTGTTAGTCTATCTTCAATTCATCATTCACCACACCACATGACATTCTACATGGCCTAGCCTTGTCTTCATTCTGTGTATCTCACCCACCCACCCCTGCACAGAGCCTCTGCTCCAGCTGGGCTACATGCTCCAACTTTCAATCTACTTTATGCTTATTAAATCTGCACAGACTATTCTCCCTAGTTGTAGAATGAAGAATTAATAATCTTTAATTTAGTCTAATAACTTTACTGTAAAAGAAGAAGAAAGTAATAAAAATGCATGAATTCATGATATTGGACTTGACAATGATCAAAGGCACATGCAATGACAGAGAGAGACAGAGACAGAGAGAGAAATTAGACTTTATGAAAATTTTAAGCTGTATGCATCCAAAGATGCTCAATTTTTATTCAATAGAGTAAAAAAACTATCCCACAAATTTGGAGAAAATAACTGCAAATTGTGTATCCAATAAAGCATTAATATCCAGGATACAAAGTAGACACCTAAAATCCAAGAACAAAAATACAAATAACCAAATTGAGAAATAAGCAAAGGACTTAAAATTTTCCCCCCCAAAAAAGGGAGAGATAAACAAGCAGCTTAAAAGCACATGAACAGAGGCTCAGTGTCACCAATAATTTATAGAAATGCAAACCAAAAGCACAATGAGATATGTCCTCCTGGCCATCACGATGGCTATCAAAACTGCCAAACCACCCAAGTGGGGAAAGCAAGAGCTGGTGTGAAAAAACGGTGATGTGAAAAACTGTACCTTGTACACTACTGGTGGGAATATAAAATGGTACAGCCACCAAGAAAAATAGTAGGGCAGCTCCTGAAAAACTTAAGGGATTACCATATGATCCAGCGATTCCATGTTAGAGTATAAATCCAAAGGAACTGAAAACACAACTGGAAAGATGGCTCAGTGGGTAGAGAGACATTTGCCACACAAATCTGGTGACCCCAGTTTGATCCCTGAAACCCACATACGGTAGAAAGAGAGTACCAATTCCACAAAGTTATCCTCTCAATTCCATGCACATTTGTGACATACACTAATAATAACAATAAACTGAAACCAGAGTCTCAGAGATATTATACATCCATGCTCAGAACACCCTTATTAGCCAGGCGTGGTAGCACACATCTTTAATCAGCACTCAGGAGGCAGAGGCAGGCAGATCTCTGTGAGTTCAATGACAGCCTGGTCTACATAGTGAGTTCAAGTTCAGTCAGGGATACAAAGTGAGACCTTGTCTCAAAAAAAAAGGGGGGAGGGAGGAACATCATTATTCATAATAGCTAAAATACAGATGCCCAGTGACAAATGTGTGTAATACAGTAATTTATTCAGCATTAACACAAGAAAGGGCATTCTGATACATGCTACAACACAGGTGAACATGAATTTGAGGAAATCAGCCAGTCACAAGAGTCAATTATTTTGTGATTCCATTTATATGAGGCATGCAGAGTAGTCAAAATCATGAAGATAGCTAGGTATGGTGTTGCACACCTATAATCCCAGCACTCACTAGTAAGGCAAGATTACTAGTTCGAAGCCAACCTAGGCTACACAGGAAGACTCTGTCTCAAAAACAAAAAAATCATCAAGAGAGAAGACAGAATAGTGGCCGTCAGAGGTTGAGGAAGACCTCAATTGGGGAGGGAGCAATTATTGTTTAATGGGTACAGTTTCAGGTTTGAAAAAAAACAAATTCTATACATGGATGGTGGTAATGGTTGCACAATGATATGAATGTAGTTCATATACAGAATTGTACTTTTATAAATGATCAAGACGGTAAATTTTGTTAGGTATATCTTACACACACACACACACACACACACACACACACACACACACACACACGCACACACACACACAATTAAATTTGGGTATCTTCATTTTAAGTTCCCTGCCTCACAAAGTAAGGAAAGTCATAAAGAAAGGGCTGGAGAGAAGGCTAGGCAGTTAAGAGAGCTTGCTATTCTTCCAGAGGACCAGAGTTCAGTTCTTAGCACCCACATCAGGTGGCTCACAATCTCTGTAACTCTAGCTCCGGGGTATCAGACGAGGCTTTGAGGCTGAGCCCCTGAATGATATCATGAAGCATCTGTACCCATCCCAGAGACAAGGATAAGTTACATGGTATGATGGTTTGAATGAGGGATGTCCTCCCATAGACTCCAAGTATTTGAACATTTGTTCAGTTGGCATGCTGTTTGGGGAGGGTCATGGAACCTTTAGGAGGTCTGACCTAGCTGGGGGTAGCCTTTGAAAGTTTATAGCTTGCCTACTTTTAGTCCATTGCTCTCTCTGCTTTCTGTGCCTGCTTAAAGATGTGCACACTCAGCTTTTGCTCTGGCCATCTCTGACACTATGCCTCCCTGCCTTGATCAACTCTTATCCCTCTGGAACCATAAGCCAAATAAATCCTTCCCGCTATAAGTTGCCTAGGCCCACCAACAGTCGGGTCAGCTCATGAAGAAGACAACTCATCCAGGGAAGAGTTGTGAGCCCTAAGAGGAAGTGTTTCAGGGAAAGCAGGCAGAGAAGGCACTACTACCTGAAGGAAGCCAGTCTTCATTAGAGTAACATTGGTCCAGTTGCCCACAAGGCAGGCATCCTTCCTCCAACTACCAGACACTGCAACCGGACACACCACACTGATTCCCTAGAGTGGGAGAGGAGCAAACAGTCAGACCTTCCACACAGGGTTCAGGGAAACCTTCAGAGACATTGGCCCATGGCTATCCTGCCAGGAACTGGAATCCCAGCAAAGTCTAAAGGCAAAACCAGATTGCGCCAGGTCGGAACAGCCCAAGGCCATTCCAAGTCTATCTGATGCTGCTGCCAGAAGTGACCGTGATGATTCAACAGGCGACTGGACAAAGAATCTACCTAGGAGAACTGGCCCAGATGGAGAGAAGCCAACAATACTTCCCAGAGCTTCAGACTCTGGCATCCAGCTGGCCACTCAACATCTTTCCCTGGCTCAAAGATTAAGACCACATACTATTCTTGCAGGAGACCGGAGTTTATTATAAGCATTCATGTTGGGTAGCTCGCAACCTCCCGTAACTCCAGCTCCAGGGGGAATTCTACACCTCTGCCCCCAAGGGCACCTGTACTCACATGCACATACAAACTGCCACAGGTACTGCAAGACTAACAAGTCCCAAACTACTAGCTCTTCCCATGATCTTCCTCGTCTCAGAATCACATGACATCCCTATCATTCCAGGTGCTCAGACTCTAACCTTGGAGTCACTCCTGATTTCCTCACATCCTCTCACATCCCAAATCTAGTCCAGTCACAAATCTGGCTCTACATGTGAAATGTATCTAAAATTCAACCATGTCTCGCCATAGCTCAGCAATCACCAGTCTGGTCCAGCCTTCTTTGGCAGCTGGGGAGATGGCTTAGTTGGGACAGTGATTACCAGAGCAAGCATGAAGCCCTGAGTTCAATCCCCAACACTGACGTCCAAAAAAGCCTGGCGTGGAGGTGTTGCCTGTAACTATAGCACAGGGTGGGCAGAGCTATGAGCATCCCCATAAATCTCCTGCCAGCTGGTGTAGCTAATCACTGAGGGTCAGGTTAAATGAGAGACCCTGTTTTAAAAGATCAGGTGGAGGAGCTGGGAGATGGCTCAGCGGTAATGGTGCCTGCTGCCAGCCTGATGACCTGAGTTCGATTCCTTTGACTCACATAGCAGAAGAGAGAATCAGTTCACTAAAGTTGTCCTCTGACCTCCATGCAAGCTTTACGGCCGGCGTGTGCGTGCACGCACACACACCCCCGACTAGTCTATCTGATTCTGCCTTTCTCCCATTTTCAATTTAGCAAGCAGACTGAGTCTGTTAAAATGGATGTCAGAACAACTCACTGCTTTTCTCGTAACCACTAAAAGATTCTTGTGTTACTTGGAATAAGCCCAAGGTCCTTAGCTAGACCTGTAGCTCCCTGTACAGTCTAGTTGGCTCCTTGTTTTTGCTCCAACCTCACAGGAAAAACTACCTTTTATTCTTGCTATCCCAGTTGCACTGGCCTGTGCACTACTTCTCATGTAAATGAAACCTCTACCTCAGGGCCTTTGCACCTGCTGTTCCCTATGCCCAGAACACCCTTATGAAATACTTTTGTGGGTTATTCACTTCCTTTAGGTCTAAATTTACCTCGATTTTTCAGCAAAACCTTTTCTGTCTGTACTACTAAGCCTTCCTAGCTGCTCCTACACTTTCTGACTCTATTCCCTTCTCAACATCCCCCCTTAGCACCTGTGTGTGCCCTTACTTGTTTAGCTTGTTAATGCCTTTTTCTTTCTCGAGACTGTACATTCCATGAGGAAAAGAAGTTTTGATCTATAAAATCTTTATTTTTAATGATGTGTATGGGGGGAGGGTGTACACATGAGTGTAGGTTCCCACAGAGGCCAGAAGGGGGCACTGGATCACCTGGAGCTGAAGTTTAATTTCAGGTGGTTCTAAACTGCCCAACATGGGCTCTAAGAACCCAACTCAGGTCCGCAATATGTGCTCTTAACTGCTGAGTCATCTCTCCAGCCTCCTTGATCTATAATGCTTTGATCAATGCCTAGAACAGTGTCTGGAAGATAGTAGGTAGTCAATATGAAGACCAATCAACAAATATATGAATGAACAATGAAATGGTGGACAACGTGGCACACTAGGCGTATCTTGTCTTCAGAGAAAAAATTGTAGTAGTGCAACAGTGTTACTCATTATTCAGCCAAAATCCCTGCTCTTCACTTATCAGCAAAACTCTGACTAGGTACCAGCTGAGCCTACAAAAATACTCTTGCGAGCCGGGCGGGGTGGCGCATGCCTTTAATCCCAGCACTTGGGAGGCAGAGGCAGGTAGATCTCTGTCAGATCGAGGCTAGCCTGGTCTACGTTATGAGTTTCAGGCTAGTTGGGGCTACTGGGAGACCCTGTTTCAAAAAGACAAAACAAAAACAAAAAAACCATTTGCATGCATGGAGATTTGAGGGAAGGTGGTTAGACCGTGACTATAAAATAGTAAAAACTATTAATTCTCTAATAAAAGGGGGCAGATTTAGCCATGGCTGTTGCTCTTTTTTTTTTTCCCCCCTTCTCCTAGTAGAACTCAAACCCAATACTTGAAAGAGAGAGAGCCATTTTTTGAGCATGTGGCTAGAAGTCCCATGCAGCACAGAGTAGAAACAGTTAAGTCACCTAATGAGCTGTGAAGTTACTATACCCAGCCACACCAGTCAACCCCTTCACAGTTAAGTCCTGGCAGGAAAGTTGCCTCCACATGCTGAGAAAACCAATCCAACTTGATATACAGGTCAAGGGTGAGATGAGAGATGCCAAGGGAGGAGAACCACTATGTGGCTGTTCCAGCACAATCCAGCAGCTGGTCAGGACAGGTGCTATGGGGTCCTCACTGACTCTCCAATCCTTCTCCCATCCACTCCTCAACCCCCAGTGGAATAGACCCCACAACCCCAGCTTGCTCACCCTTTCCTGTGGTAACCCTGAACATAAAAAGTGAGTGTCATCACTAAGGAGAGTGCCTCCAGGAACAATGTCCCCTCTGAAGCTGCATTTAAAAGTCAGCTAAGCCAGGCGTGGTGGCGCACGCCTTTAATCTCAGCACTTGGGAGGCAGACGCAGGCAAATCTTTGTGAGCTCAAGGCCAGCCTGGTCTACATAGTGAGTTCCAGGACAGCTGGGCCTACAAGTAGACCCTGTCTCAAAAAACAAAACAAAACAAAGGTCAGTAATCCAAGGGGATACATCATCCTGGACAGCTGAGTTAGGTCTGAATTCAGCTCAGCTTTTCAGACAAGCCTTCCAGGTCCATGCTGCCTGACATTTCATACTTGACTTTATTCTCTTCTTAACATTTTCTGGTGGGATGTTTTTAATAGCACGTTAAAACAAGCCTTTCAGCGGAATACATGACAATCCATCATACTCTCTCCTGTATTTTAAAACAAAGTGCTTAAGACATAAATTCCAGAGATATAAGGACCTTAAAAATCAATTCTAATGTGATCACTTTCTTTTGAAACCTCAGAGAAGATTGTTAGCTTGCCCACAAGCCCTCAGCTAGTGGTTTATGACAGTGGATCACTGTCACATGATCTCAAACAGTGATTCCTGAGGGATTACTAAAGGTGATGTTATTTCCTCAAATACCAACAGTGCCCTGGGCCTTCTTTTTTATGCTTTCAACTTGCTCTAACCTTTAAGTGTCCATTGCCATATACAAAGTATATTCAACCTGTAGTTTCCCTGCAGAGTTCATTAACAATGTGTGGAAAATAGGAGTTAGTGACAGCCTGGGGGAGGGCTTCCCTGCAAAGGTCAATGGTATGCACTCTGTCTCCCAGAGGTCACTTCCTCTAGTGCCTTTGAGGAATACTGGTTTTCTCTTTGGCACTTCACCCATAAATGATGTGGCATGTTCCAGAAACATGGGGCTCCTTCAAACATCCCAGAGCCCAGAATCTGGATTTAATAATTTGTGAAGAATATGTGTGAAACTGCTGAATTTCAAAGCAAGATGGTGAGGGGATTTTACCCCACCAGAAAAGCAGGCATTAAAGTAAGTTCAATTACATTGAATGGCCATGATGAGGATGTTCCAAAGGCCCAAGTCTGGGAAACATGAGTTTCCTGCAGAGACCCTAGAAGTCTGTGCAGGTCTCTGCACAAGCCTATATGAGGAAGAGAGTTACCATTTCTTGGTTACTACACTTCCCTTTATTTTTATTTGCTCTATGAACTATCCTACCAGAGAGTTAAGCATTCAGTTAGTCACTGTGAGGGGTCTTCCCAACCAAGTATACTCCAAGCATTATCTGAGGATCAATTAGGTGATGTTAAAATATATGTCTTTGTGGATAGGAAAGTTCAAACTCATTTTTCACATGGTAATTAATTCAGAGTAGCTTTTTGTACTTATGCATTTCCTCTAACTGAAGGATATTAAAAGGGCAAGACAGGGATCCAAATAGCCTGGGAAATCCATTCCCCTACCACAGGCTCTGAACCTCCTTATCACCACCTGTTTGAATAGCATTTAGCTCTAGGGCTGATTTAAGGTCTAAATTCTGAAGAAGACCTTCTGGAACATTCCACTCCCATTATAGCCTTACCATTACTATCCCTTACTATCTACAGTTTTTCTGTCCCATTTTACTTATCTTTTCAAACCTGTGTGCTTTCGTATAACACAAGTTTATTTTAGGTGAAGCTGTGTTGCCTTTCTGGTGGCTTACAAATCTTTCCTCTCTGAGTTCAGCCTTTGCATGCTGAAAAGATAAAGATTTTACTTTATCTATGGGAGGAGTTAGAGGAGAGGGAGTGGGCATGGATTTGATCAAAAGGGCATAAAAGGCTGCTTAGTAGGTCCTCCTTCAGTGACAGGAGA